ACCTTTTTGCCCTACCTTTGTTTTCATGTTTTCGTCGGTAAAACTGATGTCGTTAGGGTAATTGGACCTAGATGTTTCACTTTCGTAACTATAGGGATGTCAATGCTACTTTTTAAAGTGTAGGGATCAGGACACTAAAGATAGCTAACTATGGGGGGTAATATGTAATTAGCCCTCTTCTTTCCCATCTCCTCCTCTCTTTGTGGCCGGCGTTTGTTGCTGCCACAGTTCTCACTTTCCTCTTATTTTCCGTTCCTCTTCCTTCCCTCTTATTCTCTCCCTTCTTTTTTATCTTCTCCTCTCCTCTCTCGAAGGCCAGCACCCTTCACCACACTCTTCCTCTTTTCTCCCTCATCCCTCCTCCCTCTTCTCTTCTGCTGCTGCTCTCTCCTCCCTCCCTCTTCAGTCTCCACTCTCTTCCCTATTGCTACAGCCAGCACTTGCTGCGATCCTCTTCCCACTTTTGTCCCCTCCCTCGAAGCTTAATTGATTTAACATGGAAATTTAAACTTAAATGTGAGGTACAATTGGCAACTGATGCTATGTCGGAGGAATCATAATAAAGAAACATCGATAATGATCCTAGTCGGAAGCAGTGAAATATTATAGTGTAATCCACAATTACTAATTAGATCATAAATTCTTGAAAAAAATTCATCAGAAAACCTAGATGGATCATTAAAGCTGCATGATCTAGTGTATTTTAAATACAGCTAAGCACTCAAGGCTCATCACAATTTGCAAAACAGCAAAAGCATTGATTATATTTCTTGAACTTGATGATTGAAATGAATGGTTGGTGGGAAAGATTGGTGCTAAAAAAATCAGATGCAGAATACTTTTAGTGATGACAATTTGACATGGATGATGTAGCAAGTGCATCTGGAGTTAGAAAGTCAAGGACATACACTACAAAACAAGCAATACTCAAGATGAGTTTAAAAACATCAAGTTCAATGATACTAATTGTTGAAGAGGAGGAAGTTGATTTTGTTGGAACAAAAGAATAACTTGAGGGATATATAAGTGATCGAGAAGATGAGAACATGGATAATGTTGATGATGTTATGGTGGATGCTGATGATAATTAGAACTCTTGGATTCATTTTGTTTTGATATTTAAATATGAACTAATTTAGTTATCATTTTGTTAGTTCAGTGCTCTATGGACTGATAGATGTTTGTATTTGGTGTTTTGGTGATAGTGATATATAACTTATGTTTTGATTAAAGTTCTTGTTTTAACCCTTATCTCAATCTTTAAATATGTTTTTATGGTATGGTAAGTGTTCTGCTTTGCTTGGGGCACCTGGCACCTTGGACGATAATGGACCTTGGTGCCTTAAAACCTATACTGCTTCTGAGTTCTGACACCACTGGTTTCAAGCAAATCTCTGTACGAGATTATTTTTCATGCACACTAGTTAAAACCTGAGTCTTCATGTGTTATGCCTTTCCTAATGCACAAAATATTCTGTTGTTGAGTACTAATACACATTATACTAAGCTCTATTAGTAGCATGTCTTCTGTGTTATAATTTTGCAAAGGATATGTATTCACTTTTTTTGCTCCTTTAGCTGGATCATGCCATCATTCACTTATTTCTAGTGAAATTCTGCAGGTGTTTTCATTAGGTAGTGCAGCTAAGAAAGAAAGAGTTTCAATGGGCCCTTCAAAGAAGAAATGTCAAGTTTCCAGCAAGTGCTTTCCTGAACTTAGTGAAGAAAGGCCTTGCAAAAATAAGATAAATGCAGTCAAAAATAAAATAAGAGTAACTTTTTTGGCTTAAATCTCAAGTGATATATTATGTTTTTGCTTCTGTATTTTGTGTGAGATGCATAATGAAAATTAATACCATACGGGAGATTATGTTTTCTATTTCCATTTCACATAGATTAAGATTACTATGACACAGACTTGCCTGATTTTTTTCAGCTAAATTCTAGTTTCCTTAGCCTGCTGATGTGATAATGGCTGCTCTAGAATGGTTGTAATTATTGAATTTAAATATAATGATATCTCCAAAGTTATTAATTTTACTGATGTAGCCAGATATGATTATCAACTTGCTCATACCTTTTTGATCGAACTTTTGAATACTTTACACTTACAAAACTGACTTTGGTGCTATTCTATGAAATGTTTGCTTTCAGTTTTATGTGCAGATCTAAATTATGCTTAGATTCTAGTTTTATTCTTTTAAATTTTACTTGTTAATTCTATCATTTAAAAATTTGAAATCTCTTAATGAATTCAAATTCTTTAATCCACAAAAGCAAGGAACGGAACAAGTCAGCAACACCGTGTATCTTATCATTTTGGAATTCAAAGTATAAAAAGTAAATAAGATTATATTGTAAAAAAATGTTTTTGCTATCGAACTTTGATCAACATCTTGCAGAGCTGATATTTATATACCATTTGTTTGATGTTGTCAGTCTGAGTGCAATGTTTGCTTGCTTGAAATTAGAATTTAGAAGTATTGTTTGTTCCTCATTTGAAGTGAAACTGATATTGAAGGTTGGCATACACTAACTGGAGCCAATCTTGCATCATCCTTCTGTAGGTTATCTGACCATGCAATATCTTGCTAACCAGCCAACAGGATAGCAAGCTTTCTGTTTTCTTCTTATTGGACGACCCACTGTTAGAGTGGTTATGCCTATTAAATCATTTCTTTTTAAAGCAAAAAGAGAACCCCCATTACCTTATTCAATCAGCAAACATGCCAGAGGAATTAGAAAATGAGAGTCAAGTTTTAAGGGTGACAAGAACCCTCCAGGCGCACAATAACACTACTAATTCTACATTATTGACCAACTAGTCAGCACACTTGTTGTCTTCATTAAAAGATCTACAAATAGATGTTTTTAAATATCTGAAGTTAGGTACAATATCTTTATATACCATTCAGCTGCCAAGGGAAATTATTATTATTTAGAATCTGGATCAAGCTGCTGAAATCAACTTTACTATTGAGTATTGACATCTATAAGCTTCAGACTCGAACACCAAATGAACACTATCACTATATCCTCTGCAAAATTAGGAGATTTATTATAAACTTGCAAATAAATCCTAGAAAATTCTATGGCAATTTGTGTATAAATCCTGCCCCACCAGGTGTATTGGGATAAAAAGATCACTTATCTGTATTCAAATTCACCTATCCTGGTGAGGAAGCTTCCATCTGATCCAAATAATATTTAAGGTTATTTTCATTAGACATACCTAGCCAGGAATACTAATATCTAAGAAGCCATTTGGTCCATGTTCTGGATGGCATTCATGATATCTAGAAGGATAAGTTCGCTATGTGGCCATGATTGAGACTTTGGCATTTTCAAGTTTAACAGAATATTTATAAGCTCTGACAATTCTTGTGCATCTCGTTTATCAATCTTTTCTCTGTATTATTGATTCTGAAGGAGTTGGCATGAAATATTGTAGTGTTTAGAAGTGAGTATACAATACTTCAGGTATTAATATAGTACTTTCGGTCTTTTAGAGTGTAGTTCCTATGTAGACTTTGTGGTTTTGTTATCAGTGAATGATTTATTGTTCAACTTGTTTGAATTTTGAAGTTAAACATCATATCTGAAGATTTTGATTAAATTTTCTAATATTATTTATAGGACTAGGAATAATGTATGAGGTTTTTTACACAAGAAATTATACTGTAGTTTTTGTTACTTTTTAGCTTTGCAAATTAACTGGCATAATGATAAATGAAACTGGTGTGCAACTTAAATCTTCTTTGATTTCATATTTTAGGAATCTACTAAATGTGTAACAGATATGGGTTTAATGCTAGGTTGGATGTTTCCTTCTCTGGGAATTGGGCAACTAGATTAGCTTTACTTATGTTTTCAAACTCATTAGGCTCCAACCTATATCCCTTGATTAGTTATTGGAAAATATTCTGATGTATTATCATCATACAAAATTTGATCAGCACTATCCTATATAAAAACGATATTAGAAAACAATATTACTGGGCTTAATATCTGATCTCTTGTTCATCACTATGCTAGATGATTAAAAAACTGTCACACAAGCATTTATTTCGGTTGATCTATAGTTGATCAAGTTTTTATAGATAATCAATGTATATTTAAACTAGTGGGTGCCTGGGTGGGATGTTGTTCGTCTAGTTATTCTGTGTGTCACATAAAAGCCATTGGAAGATTCTATATTCCAAGAAATGTCACTTTTCTGTTACCCTTACTTCACATGTGTTTTTATCTAAATTTCAGTGGAGCGTTTAGAAATTCATTGCATTTTCTTTTATTATCTTAGGCTCTTGGAAGATCATAGTGGAAGCTTCTTTTTTGGGATCTAGATGACGTACAATTTTAAATTCTGTATGGGGATCAAGGTTCGCCGTACCGTATCGTATCGGCGTTTCGACCCGGGCTCGATATGGTACGGTACCAGTGTACCGGGCGGTACATCAGGGTATAACGAGCAGTACACCCTGGTGTACCAAACAATTTTATACTTTTATACTGTAGCATTGCTACAGTATAATACTGTAGAACTGTAGAACTGTAGCACTATAGCGATACCGGGCGGTCCGCGTACCAGTAACCTATTGGACCGGTACGTACCACCCGGTATGGGCGGTATGCTTCGGTATGGCAGACCTAGATGGGGACTATGCTCTTTTTTGTCTTTTGTTTAGTCTTTCATGTGATTGTTCTCCAAGTAGGTAAGGAAACTGGTTCCTTTTACTTGAGATCACAATGTCTAACCAAGCAAAATGACAATGAATGACCATAGTTTGACAAGCAGCCTTGTATTGTAGACTGATCAAATTGGTCGTGTTGGTTCCTAATGCTCTGTGTCTCCCAGAACTGTTGAATAGTTTACTAAGGCTGTTGATATTAAGTTCCATATTAATTTGCATATGAAAATAGGAGAAATGTGCTTAAAGCTTATGCTTTATGAATAATGTGGACTCTGGTCCTTTTTGTAAAGGTCTTTTTTTAGCATATTGTTTTGTCTATCATATCAAAATGGTGAGCCCTGGTAGTTGGCACCACGATACGGTCGCTCCTTTTATCACCTGAATGATTAGAGTTTCAGTCATGAAAACAATATGCTTGTAGGGATATGACCCTACAAATTGACCCTTTCTAGATCATGCTTTGTTGGGTGCTTTATGCGCTAGGCTGCACTTGTCTATCATGTAAATTTGTGTTAAAAAATCTTTTTCACTGTTATCTTTGTGATTTCTATAACCACATTCATTGGAGGACTTTTTTTTTTGCTTCAATAAATTGTATGTTTATGTCGCTTTCATAAGTACTAATTATTATGTGAAATGTACTTCAACCCATGACCTTCACTAATCTACTATTGCACTCTAACTTTAAACAAAGTGATTTATGCAGAAAAGGAGCTTATCTGATATGCTAGGTTCCCAGTGGAGCAAAGTAGAGGTGGTTCAATTTTTTGAGGCATATCATAAGTATGGGAAAGACTGGAAGAAGGTTGGCAACCATCATCATATCATCATCTATTTGATGCTCTGCTTACAATTATTTTGCTTACCTTTTTGAGCTTCAAGTGCTTCAACAATTCTTTTATAAATAAGAAGCATGTTTTCCTATAACTTAGAAGATTTCATAATCTATTAGACATTAGTTCTGGGTAACACTTGTATTGTGTTAATTGTTTCAATTAGTAATCATTTTGACTTTCAGGTGGCGGCTACGTTACCCAATAAGTCATCAGATGCAGTGGAAGCCCTTTATAATATGAATAAGGTTATACGTGCATCTTACACCTACTTTAATGTACACAATTTTCTTAGATTTATTCGTTGTTCTCAAAGTTTTCTGAAGTCTATAAAAGTTGTTACACTTAGAAGTTAGTTTATTTGGATTAAAGCATGGAATTCTGATCATATATCATCTGCATGCATCACATTTACAGGCTTATATTGACGTATAGGCTTCTTTTACATCAACTGTGTTGAACTTATATTGAGGTATTGTTCATTCATAAGAAACTCTGGTTCATGGTAATGGCACCACAAATTCTTTTGGCTTAAGGAATTGAACTCCTCCTACCAATGCATAGTGATTTCCTTGATCTGGCTTCTCTAGCATTTTGATTGACATGTTTAGTGTCATCCTACTTAGGCCATTTTGGGCATTTTCTTTTGAGATGAATTCTTATTTTTCTTCACCTTTTCCTTCTTTCTTTCTTGCATATATAGATAATGTGTCTCCCCTCAAATGAATCATTTCCACTTTGGTGGCAATCAATAATAAGATTCCAGTGAGTGCAAAGTTTAAAGTCTCTGTCTGATGCTGATACCAGTTGGTGGCTGGACTGGTATGGTAGTGATATGACAGATATACTGACACTTGATACCGGTCAGATCAGTACCACTTTAACTAGAGAGGAGGGAGAGAAGAAGGGAGAAGGGACAAGAAGTGGAGGGACAAATACGGCCAGTACTTGTATGGGTGGCAATTTGAACCTTGATGCAGCTTAGGTTAAGCTTCTTTATTTGGATATGCTTCATCTTTTTCTTCATGGCATTCTGATTTCATTTTCTTTTTCTTGCTTTGGCTGCAACTTCTAACTCGTTGGTTTCACATCGGTTCGTGGCATGAAACTAGACCATGGATTTCTCTTATGTTTTTCAGGGTTGTCAAAAATACATTTTTTAGTAAGCTAAGGACTGCAGCATAACAAAGGCTAAAATTCTTTTTTCTTTCTTTATTTATGATGAGGCATCAGTTACCGATGGGCTTTACCAATATGCTTTATCTTCCAGGAGTCATGTATGAGACGAGAGACATTACATTTACAGGATAAACTAAATACTGGGAAACAAGTAAAAGCTCTATGTAGAATGAAAAGAAATACTTAATGTATTTCCCATGAACTTATCAATATGCTTTATCTTCCAGGATACATGGTATGAGATGAGAGACATTACAGCATAAACTAAATACTGGGAAACAAGTAAAATCTCTTTGTGGAATGAAAAAAAATACATAATGTATTTCCCATTAACTTATCTTTGTTTGTTTGTTCTGGTAAACAGGTGCATCTGAATCTGGTAACGATGTTGTGAGTTATTAAACTATTAATTACCATTTAATTAGTGTCTTTTTATTGGTTTAATATTTTAGATAAGCAGCATTATTTTAAAAATCAGTTTATAGTATCTCTCTCTCTCTCTCTCTCTCTCTCTCTCTCTCTCTTCTTCTGTGTGTGTGTGTCTCGTATTGTCCCTTTTTTAAACCAAATTGTTCCTCACTGCATGATTGATTAAAGAGGACTGTGCTATTTCAGGCTTACTTATCTCTTCCAGAAGGGTCAGCTAATGCAACTGGACTAATTGCTATGATGATTGATCATTACAATATTCTGGTAAGACTCAGAACCAGGCTTCTTCTCTACCATTTCTGACATTGCTGTTGATATCTTAAGTAGATATATCTTATCTTTACCAGACAAAATTGTAAATTAGCGTCTCAAAAGTTATATCTATTTTATCAAACACTTATTTCTTGGATAGTCTTCATCTTCTTCTTGCATACTTTACCAATGCTACATTTTGGTGAAGGAACTTATTTGCTTTAGTGTTAACCTGATACTATTGATCACCTCACCAACTTTCATTTTTATGTCTTAACTCGAAATGTTGACTATGAGACATTTACATGGGGTCATTTATCATCTTACAACCCGATAATTTTTGTAACTATTCTGTAATCAGTATATCTTATTTTTATGTGAAAATCTTATCTCAAACTCATGTCGTTGACTGTCAGGAAGGTGGTGACAGTGATCAAGAAAATTATCGATTTTTAAGAACATATACTAGGCCTCAAAAACATGGCCGTGTATCTCAGATTGTCCTGCCAAAAGGTTCTAAAGGGCTAGTTTCCTTGCAAAAGCAATCAATCCCATCAAGTTCTGGGTGCATGCCTTCGTTAAGGAAAATTCATTTTGCTGGCAAGTACTACAGTTCTCTTTTTATTGCCATATTTATGTCCTTGAGTCCAACAACTTCCCCTTTTGCTCTAAAAACATCTAAGTTCATATTTTTATATTGTTGATCTATTTTGATGTTTAATTTGAAGATCTCAGTAGTTTAACTTTCAGCATCTTATCAATGAGAAACATTGTGCTCTTTTGTTGGCATGACGAGGCATCTATGTCAATATTTTGACACCCAACATGGACATTGCATTGGTCACTGGTCCATGGTTCAATTATTTATTCAAATAAGAATGTGTGACATCATGTAAATACAAATAATAAGAAAAAAATTATGAAAAAAGGTGGATAAAATGTTTACGCTCCTGCCAATCTGTGTACTCATTGTATGACTTTACATTTGCAAATAGATTGTTTTTATGATTCGAACCCTTGATATACAGGACACAAAAGAAATCTTACTATAACACCAAGTTTTACCATCAGAAAAAATCAGATGTCATTATAAGATATTTTTTCCTTGGGAACAGTTGCCAATGACAGATAATATTTTTCTATGAATATTTGGTATTTTGCTTTAAATGTATTAGATTGTTGCAAAATCAGATGTTTGATGTAATGTTTGAAATCACATGGACACAATATTTGATTCAGAGAATAAATTAGTCTAGAGTCTTGTAGTGTATAAATTGAGAAATTGGGAATTACTATATAGATTAAACCATTTAACTTGCCAAAGTTGGAGAATCAGATGGTTCCCAGGGATCAACTGAAAATGCCGTAGTTGAGGATCACGAGAATTGAGTGGTATAACAAGTATGTCAGTTAACAACTTGGCCTGTAAGACCTGAGTGAGGTTTTAAACTATTGGTCTAAGTTTTTTATTTCTTGGGAAATTTTCTTTCTAGCATGGCTGTGACTGACCATGAGTCTACATTTGGAAACTAAAAACAACTCTTGGAGAACAAGAATGTAGTTTCCCTTGCATTCTTTCACCTCAGTCTTACTTTTCACTTTTTTCAACTTGTTCTCCTATTCAGGCAAACCCGACTAAGTAGTTTCTTTAAGTCATAAATAAGCATGGGAACTTGAATCTTTTTTTCCTCTGAAATATATTTCACTCTTTCAAATGATAAGTTAACATGTTTTCTTAGTTCTTCTGTTTGTCTCAATGGATATTCTGGAGTTACTGTGTATCTTCGTATCACACAGTTTCAGTTATCACCATGAAGTCAGATGAACTTTTAGTTTTGAATAATATACTGTATATGTACTGCTATAAGTTGATTCCATAAATTTTTGTGGCCAGATACTTTAGGTGGTGGCAAGATTCGTTGTGTTGGGAAAAGGACTCCTCGTTTTCCTGTAGCATTTTTGTCTGAGAACATTATTAGATATAATTTAACTTCATCAAATAAACAATGTTCAAAATCGAAGGCAGAGGTGTTTGCCGATGAAGGAATGCATCTAGCAGCATTGGCATTGATTGAAGCTTCTCAGATTTTTGGGTCACCACTGGGTTCTCAAAGCAGAGACAGAGTAAACGAGCAAATTGGATCACCTCCTGTACTGAGTGGTGACTCAAAGGTTTGTCCTATTCAAAGCTAATATATTGCCTTAAATATTTATATTTTGATCCAATATGTTTTTTGCAATCAGTCGGACCAGTACATATACCAATCTGTACAGCATAGTATCATCAGCAGAATAATGAAAATAAATAAATATTGACTGATATTAACCTATGTATTTCAGTACTAGTTCTTGATCAGACCAACATATACTAGTCGGTACATACCATAACTGGTATTTGAAACCTTGATTGCTACATAAAATTACTTCCATGATGATTTAATTTTAAAAGGATTTTTTTAACTGTCAACTGAGCATACTAAATTGCAGATGGCCAATATCGATATTGTAAGTGCTGGAGTTGATGGATGCTTCTTGGAAGGGAAGTTAGCTAGTAAAGAAGGATGTGTTGCTGTTATCAATAGAGATACTAGACTGCAGGATACTGATATCTCTTCTGCAATCCCAATGGAATATAAGATGCAAAAGTTACAAACAAAGAGGTCAAAAGGTCAAATCAATATGAACTATCAAGCTGAAAAGGGGACTTGCATCAATACTGAAGGTGTTAATGTGAGAAATATTACATGTAAAATAGATGCAGAAGATAGGGAAGCAAAATGTGCATTTAGCTCGCAAGGTCGAAAGAAGAAGCTGCTTAAAGAACTTAGTTCAGGTATATCTTCTTTATATATATATATATATATATATATATATATATATGTGGTTGTTGCTTTGTTATTTTGGAATTGAAATAAAAAAATAAACCTTATCCGATATTGATTAATTTTGCCATTTTGTGAAGTTTACTTGCAGACTGTTGTAATGTTTAATAGTAAAGGTATCTTACTTGAAATTCCCTTTTGAAACAAATTCAAGTTTGTGTTGTGAGGTTTAGACCCTCAATCAACCAGTTATCTTCTTTATGATAATATCATCATCCTAAAAACATCAGGTAGAGGTTTTGGTGTTATAGAACACATTGTAATAGATATGAACAAGGAGATAGTTTTTTGTCTGAAAATTGACAACTTATTGAGCAAATATGGCCATTGTTAATAAAGCCTTTGACACCAATTCAGAGAAGATACATTTCATTTTTCAAGATTCTTAGATAGGGACTTCTTTAACCATTTTTATCATAATTTTCAAGAATGATAACATTTTGTTTGATGTGAAAAAGGGAAAATAAAGAAATTGGTATTCATTTCTTTAACATTATCTGCATTCTTATCCATATTCAATTGATGTGAATATCTTTCCATATCAACATCAATTTCAATATCGTTGCTTATATTGACTGATCTATATCATGTATAATTTGTTAGCCATATGCAATATGTAAACCTTCATGCATGTTGCCCCCAGATTCTCTTAAATTGTTGTGCTTGCAAGTGTGCTATCATATATCATCATTATGGTACAGAAGCAATGATAAGCAATTTATCATTATGACGAGATTTATTACTCGACATTTCATTAGCAATTCATGGACTTTGAAGCTGCATTTGATTTTTCTTTAAAAAAATAATCAGAATTTTTTATTATATTAAATAACATACGGGACGTTCAAACATGGATTCGAACTTGAGACTCATCACTTGTGCAACAATGCACTTACCACTAAGAAGTCTCAACAAAGACGAAGATGCTTTTGATTGCTTATAAATTTTTTTGTAATATTTTTCTAATCCACATCAATTTCAATAGGAATTTGTGAATATGAGATTTTATATGCATATGTGTTCATATTGGATTTGTTCTTCTCAATTTGTAGATGAAAGGAATGCTCTAGATGCTTTGCTGGATTTGGGTAACTTGACTCCGGATCTTTTCCATACTTCTGCTTCTGAAGCTGGTTAGTGTTCTAGTTATTCATAATCTGAGGGGAAGTAACAGATGCTGATGATATTATTTGTTGTTTTCATTCTATAACATGATTATTTTCATATCATTTTCATTTGACAAATTCTATTGTTAACTAATTGTAACCTTGATAGCCATACACATGATTATATGCATGGCATTACCTTTCTAAGTATATTTATGTTAGATCAATTATTTTATATTTTCTGATGATGCTATGGGATGGATACACGCTTTTGATGTAATATAAAGGTATATACCAAGGTTTGAAATACCATCTAATATGGTACAAGTGGTGTATACCGGTTCATCAATCTAGCAGCATGTTGACCAGGGTAAACCAGATGGTTCAAGCCTAGTATAAGGCATATCGTTTGATGCAATGTTGTACCATGTGAGAAAGGGCTTGTACCGGAAAGTAGTTTCTTTTTATTTTCAGTATTTTTCAAGCTTTTTTAGAAACTTAGTACATATAGTTGTACCAACACTTGGTAGGTTAATATAACTCAAACTTAAATTGATCGAGGCAAGGACTGATATAGGTCTGGTATTCGAAATTAAGATCATTGATTATTATTATTTAGTATAATATTTTCTTTCACTTACAAATTTCTTCAATATGTTATGAATTAAAGGTAGATGTTTTTCTTATTTTCCTGTGTTACTTGTAGTACGATATGCCAAAACCACCATTTCATGAAGAACTTATTGGAATTAGTGATTTCAAAAGGCGCTCAGACCCTCCCCTAGGTGCTCAAACGAGCGCCTAAGCGCCTCGCAAAGCGTTTTGATGAAACACCGCTCGGGTGCTCGATCGAGCCTAATGCCGAGCTCCTCGAGCAAGTGTATAAGTGAAAGTTGGATCGGGGTTTGATCTTGGTTCGATTGAATGAGCAATTTAGTTCAATCGAACTAACTAATGTACCCTAACACAAACCCCCCCCAACCCACGCCCAACTCAGTTTGACAAACTCGAAGTGAAACCCTGCATCTGTCACTCTAGCTCCGTCCATCATTGTGTTTGCTCTGTCCGTTATCGCCGCCTTTGTTTGCAGCTTCGTCCGCCACTGTGACCTTCATTTGCAGCTTTGTCCGCTGCCCTCTCCTTCTCCCACCTTCCTCCATAGCGATTGGTTCCTCTTTTCAGTTCCTTCTTTAGAACTATTTAGCACCATATTGATCCACTCTTTAGATTTTTTTAGCACTAGTTAGAAACTTGTTTAGCATAGGCATCCATCAATAGAAACCATATTTTATCATTTTTATTTTTATGATTATATTTATCAAATTGTAATATATATTTTTTAAATTTTTATATTCTAAAGCGTCTCGCTTCGCTCGAGCGGGTGCCTAAGCAAGCACTTAGCGCCTCGAGTGTTTTGGGACCTTGGTGCCTAGTGCTCTTAAAAACATTGGTTGGAATATACTTTTCCTACACCGATATAAACATAAGACTTTTAACAAGTACAATTGGCTTAAGGTGAGTTAGTGGGGTTGGGTTAATTAATGTGGATCTAAGATATTGAATTGTATTTCATTCTTAAATCATCTACCTAGATCAATTTTGTTCAATGTTAAGCTATCATTTAAAGGTATGTTTGCTTACGTTCCCCTTCTATCTTAAGAAGAATGAGTGATGGCCTGGTGCATTTAAGATGCAACAAATGAATTCATATCTTCATAACGAGGAATTAGATGAATGACCTAGCAGTTAGTATATCGAAAGAGAGAGGATGGTAATTGAATTCATTAGAATAATTTTGCTAAAAATAAGAGCAGCCAAGAGAGTCTCCACTCTAAGATTCTGCTAGTTGAAAAATTCTGCATCAGGTTTATTTTTCTGAATTAAAACCTTTTTTAGGATGTGTCTGAAGATGTGTATCTGCATTTCAATATATACACATGCATGTGTATACATAAGTACAACATATGTACATATGTATGTACTTTGATTTCACTAAAAAAGTAGTGAAAACTTATACGTTTCCACATGGTTCACCTTACCAGTCTGTACCAGTATATTGATCGGTTATCGATACAATATGTACCGACGTACGAAAACACGGTAAGGTGGGGTATACCAACGAATTGGTATGTATCACTCATACCGATCCCCTGTTGGACGGGTACATACCACCCGTACTGAGCGGTACATCATGGTATGACGAATCTTTCTCTTCCATGAGCAATGGAAATTATTTCCTTTTTTGTTTATTTAAATAAAGCATAGGTGTTTTCCCACCTCACAATTGTGAAATAGTTCCTAGAGGATGTCATCAGTAATGTATATTTTAAGTTTTTATTGTTATAGGCACTAAATAATTATCTGCTAATGAAATAGAATCACTTCTGCTCACTCATTTAATTTTTCCGTGATCAGAGTTGAGAAGTCATGAGAGCAATTGGCCAAAGGTTAGAAAGGATAGAGATCACATATCCAATATTGAAGTTCATTGTGTTACACAAAAAGCTAAAAAAGGAAGCAATATACCCCCTCAGCAAGATTATCTTTCAGAGGCAAATCAGAGAAGCTGCCCTACTACTATCAGCAAGCGACATAAAGGAAAAGGGAAATTCTTGGGAGAAGAGGTAACAAGTAACAAGCTCAAGTAGATTAGGTCAATTGATAAACTGTTTGGTCTATTATTATGAATTGCTTTTGATCATGCCTAAGAAAAGAAAAATAAAATAAAAATGAAAAGCTTTATATCACATAAATAAATTCATGATATTTACTAATGCCAATTTGCCTTTGAACCAATAGCAGATTCAAAAATGTGGAACAGGAGATAAATCTCACCTGACAGAACTTCAGAAGAATGGGGTAAACATTCTCCTACTTTATTCATTTTTTCCATCTTCTCTGATACTCTTTTAGTTATTTATCCCTTTCTGTGCATTTTGACCCTTTCCAAAACCTGCAATTGTTGGAGCCCCATGCAATGGGCTACCCTTTTCCTTTCCAATATAGCTCTTAAACCATTGTGATCAGTTGAATTAGCCAGGATCATCAGGTTTCAGTTGATTCCAACCAATTTTTTTTATTAATAAACTAAATTTTGCTCAGTTCTAATCCGGTTCATCTTGTAATGGATCTGGGATTAGTCAAATCCACTGAAATTTATAGAAACACATTAGTATTTAGTAAGCAAAAGTGGTTAAATGCATTACTTGTTAACTATGCTGTCAGAAACCCCATTCTCTTTGCTGGTAACTTAGGACGAAGGTATATATCAACCTGTAGTAGCCAGAATGACCAGTGAATAAAAAAATCATGCTTTTCTATTATATGCGAAGGTCTTTGTCATGTTTCTTTTTATGCTACTAGCCCTCAAGTCTTTTCATTGTTGTCTTGATGTTCTTGACAAAATATCTCTTAGGTAAGAATATGACTAGGATTTAACTTTATGCTTCTCAAAATTGGATATCTTTTGTTGCAAGTCCTGTAAACTTGCTTTCTTTTCAGGTCTCAATTGAAGACATGGAAAAATCCTTTGCTAGTCAACCTATTCAGCTCTCTGAACAAGGAAAACTCAGCCACAAACTAGAGATTTCATTGTTAAATAGAAAAATTGGAGGAACAACAGAAGATAAAACTATATCAACTAAATGTTTAGCTGCAGACAATCTTAGTATGCATAATGGAACTAGGACCAGATGCAAGCTAAATCTGAAAAAAGAAATGGCTCAAAAACAGCTGATGTCTTCTTGTGGAGTTGGAGACGAATGTCAGAATAACCATTCACGTTTTATGAATATGAAGGTATTTAATTTCCTTGTATTCATTATTCTTAAATTAGATTAAGAAATAAATATTTTTTTCATCTGGACTATTTCTTAATTTCAGGGAACACTTGCTAATTGCCTTTCATCTCAACTGTTCCGTAGATGGTGTACATTTGAGTGGTTTTACAGTGCAATTGATTATCCTTGGTTTGCCAAAAATGATTATGTGGAATACTTAAATCATGCAAGATTGAGCCATATACCAAGGTTTAGACGTGCAGAGTGGAGCATCATTCGGAGGTATTTGCTGACTAACAGGTTTTTCTATGATAGAGATTGGGTTTAGTCCCTTAATTGTTTTCTTTCAACAGATCTCTTGGCAAAGCACGTCGATTTTCTAATAAATTTTTATCAGAAGAAAGGATGAAAGTTGAACAATATCGTGAATCAGTTCGAACACATTATACTGAACTGCTTGCTGGTACAACGAAAGGACTTTCAAGAGATTTAGCTATACCTTTGTCTGTTGGACAACATGTGATTGCTTGCCATCCTAAAACAAGAGAAATTCATGATGGAACTATACTAAGTGTTGGTCGAAGCAGTTACAGGGTTCAATTTGACAGACCTGAGCTAGGTGTTGAATTTGTGATGGTAACACGCCCACTGTTTATGTGCTCCTGTTGTATTTTCTTTTGTATCTGTATGCATTCTGAATTTTCACTGCAACGTTTCACCTATATGTTGATTCTTTGAAGCAAACTTTGTAGGTTTCTCTTCTTTGATGAAAACTGCCCTTATATTAACATTAGTAAGAGAATTCTATTGTGCTATTGATAAAGAAACCTTAAATCCAATCTTTTACTAAAATCCATCTCCTAGATGCCAGGAGATCCTTTTATCTTAATCTATGTGTAAAATTTCTAACATATATAATGTCAATTTAGAAGGTGAGGTGTTCTTTGCTCTTTGCTGATCATCACACTGCATTACTATCTCTTTGTAGTTTTTGTCTTTTGTTTGAATTACTTTCAGGTACAAAAATGTTTCACCACATAATGTTCCAGAGTTGTTATAGAGGAGACAATCAAGGATCACAAAGTAGATGCCATGCAACCTTCCTAAGACTTGAGGGATTGTACAAAGGAAATCATAAATTGCTATAGTTGGTCATTATAATAGCTATGCTCTTTTAATTAGTGTCTACACATGCTCTAAGTTATAGATATTCATTTAATTTTATTTCTTTTGCAATGATTTGCTATCCATCATCTGTTGCACAGCTAACTTGCCAGGTTGACAACTATAATCTAGTGTTGCTTCCATGTTCTTTTTTGCTTTTCTGTGCTAAATTCCATCTTCATCTTATGATAAACTATTTGGTCCTCCACTGAGTAAAAGAAACCTCCGCAGTTAAATTGTATATTTACCGGTTTGCATGTTATAAACTTGTTCATCCCACCCTTTCATGTTCAGGTGTTCATCTGATGATTTACTTGTTTTTTGGAAGCCAGGGATTGGTTTATCCTTTGAATTCTCATTTAATTTTTGAGTTTTTTGCTTTATACATGTAGGTATCTGATGTTCTTTATGTCTTCTAAAGAGTTGTCTTAGTCTTCTACATCTTTTTGACAGAAATTTGATTTGCAAGTAATATAATTGTTTACATTAATTAAAAAAGAAATTTTATTTTTCAGGATATTGACTGTATGCCTCTAGGTCCATGGAAGAATATGTCTGATGATCTTGAAAGACAAAATGTTCCAAGTCAGTTATGCGAAAGCCTTATTGTCAAAAAGACAGATGATTTTATTCAGCAGAAAACAAATGATATTCCAAACATTGCCTCAAATGAGATTGTGGAGGTTGCACATATGCCTCGTTTTAAATTTTCACAAAGTTCACCGTACAAGCAGGCCAAGGTTTATTGTCATTTTCTTTTGATATACTTGGAAAATCAATTTCATTCTACCTAAAATAATCAATCTTAATGTACTCATCTGAGATGTGACTAACATATTTCTTGTTCTGCAGCAGGAAATTTGTAGTAAACAGTGTCCATTGTCTCAGATGGAAACAAGGGAAGCTGACACTAAAGCTCTTGTTGAACTGATGCGTGCTCTGAAGAAAAAGGTGATCGTATTTAATAATTTTCCATTTCTGATAGTTGTTCAGTGTTTATATTACTTGGGAATTATTTTTTCAATGTTCACTTCCAATTTCATCTCATTTGACATTCTTGTCATATGAAACAGTTCTCTTCATTGTAAGAGGTTTGCATGTAAAACACCAAATATTTCTCATGTCATTTCTGTAAGCTTCATATATTTTGCAATTTCTGTGCTTTAACAAGGTTGAAGTGAAATGCATTTTTAACCAGCATGAGTGCCTTCTGATTAGAGATTTGAACTAAGCTTGCGTCTACCATCTCCAAATCTTGTTTTGGCATCTTTACACAAAGGGTTCTTATAGTTTTTGCTTCCTTTTGTAATATTACTACCTCGGAACTTATCGAGTATCTGTCTTGATCTGCCTTTTGAATCCTAAGTTATGGCTACTTTTCATTGCTTTGCTGTGAGGCCTCCTGTTCTGTGCTTTGTGGTCCATCAGTCAGGCTTTTTGATAGATGGCCTGCTTCAATAACTTTGTGTTAGTGGATTTCCCAACACATGTTTTTACAGGTCTTGTATTTATCTAACCAGGCATTTGTTCACAATTCCCTATATAAAGAATGAGCCATACACAAAAGCATACATTTAGGCTTATGTCAATCTGAATTCACATACTGTCTAAATCCCACCCAGACCCTTGAAAACATTAATGCCGTAAAGGTTGATTGTTTAAATAACTTCTTTGAATGAGCATAAAAGAGATTTTTATTGTTTAAATAACTTCATTATTGTCTCAATCTTTCCTTTTTTGTTTTCATTATGCCAAGTTGTTGCTATAAGTTGGTGGCTTAATTTAGTCCACTAAAAACCTGAACACCATGTAATTCCTACTTGACACAATACAGTGCAACATATTTTATGTGATTAACACAGATTGACACTCTTTTGGCTAAAACATGTACATTTTGTGTTTCATATGTGTTGGGATGAGGATCCAATCAAAAAGGAACCCAATGCTTGGTATGTCATTTATATGCAGGAGTGTCATTAATATGATTGGTATGTCATTAGTTTAAAGTGTCATTAATATGCAAGAGTCTTAGTTCACTGCTGGTTGGTTATATTGAAACCAACAACATTTTTCATCAAAATGGATTTAAAAGTTCTAGAAGCATTTTCTTATTCTCTACTATGCTGTGCTTCAGCCTGTTGTCTCAGTTTTATAAATATGTATTTACTTATTTACTTATATTTATCTAGTGCTTAAGATCCACACTAGCACCTCCAAATCCAACTCCACTTTAAGTTTGAATCCATCCTGAGCCGCCCTATGACTCACAGAACAGAACGTTCCATCTATCAATTGATGTAGCCATTTTTAAATTAGGCATATGTTCACTATTGGAAGGGAAAGGGCTTTTCCCTATTTTCAATCAGCCAGCTTTATTTTTCAACTGTTTGAAAAATCTGTTGAATTCTATCAGTTCGTTGCAAGTCTCATTAACATATACTCAGTAAATGGTGTTTTGTGTCTCAACAAACCCCTTGGTAGAATTCTGTAGAAATAGCAAAAATTGACCTTTTGCTGCATTGCAAATGCGAACAATTTGTAATGGTGAGAGAAGCATCATTGTTATGTTTGCAGAAAGCATTGATGACAGAACTGAGCCACATGAATGAGGAAGTAACTAGAAAGCAAAATGATGATTCAATCACAAATGTCGAGCACTTAAGGATGCAGTTACTTCTACAGCTACAAGAAGCCGGCGACCAGGCTAGTTACTAATTGATTTACTAAGTTTCAATTTCTTTTATCATAGATCTTTCTTTCCTCCTAACTTGATGTTTAATTCCTATCTCATCTTTCAGGTTGGTTCTGCCATACTTGAGTTGAGGCAACATAATACTTTTCAAGGAAAATTAACATCACCATGGTTTAGGTCAACTGAGAATTCAGTGCTTGCTGGACCTTGTAGTAACTCAGAATCTTATGTATTGGAAGTTGTTGAAACTTCAAGGCAGAAAGCAAAGACACTGGTGGATCAATCTGTGCAGGTAAGCATGAAGAGGTTGTGTTTTCTTGTTTTCTTTTTCTGTGTTGACGAATTTCCATGTCTTATTAAAGCAAGACCTGATCCTCTATGTAGTCCTGACCATGGCATTTTTAGTCCTGTTTATATGGTGACATTCTCTACTTGGATCAACATGTGATGAATCTTTATTTTTCTATTGCAAAACTTTTACTTTTTTAACATATGCTATTATATGAAAACGATTCTCGATTTTAATTGGCACTTCGGTTCATTTTGTTTATTTCAATTGCCTTAAAGATACTTGTTGCTTTATTTAATTTCCAGGCTATGTTTTCTGTGGAAGGCAGGAAGGATGCTCTCGCTAGTACCAGAGAGGTTTTGTATCCTTCTAAAAATTGGTCTTCTGGAGTTGATTCTGACAGATTAGACACTGCATACACTCACATTCCAGAAGTACACAAATTAGCAACTAGGGATGAAAAAACTTCAGACAGGTTAGGGCCAGCAAATATTCAGATCCCAGGTCTAAACTTAGAGATCTCTTCTGATGCAAACCTAGGTCGAATTCCATCAGAGTTAATATCGACTTGTGTTGCTGCTCTTTTCATGATTGAGGTACGCTGTGCAAATGTTCTGAAGGACATTGACAAAGCATATTTTCTTTACCTTGTCTAATATCTACATTTCTAAATTTAAGACATTTATTAAGTTATTTCACTCCTACCGTTATTTTTTTTGTTTTGCTTTCTTTTGCCCTCGTTCAACAAACATTCAGCTCTGCTCAGAATCTATCTGCAATCTGGTCATGTTTCAAACATGAAATAAGGTTTTGTTCTGATTTTATTGTAGCTTTTGCTGAGACTGCCTAACTTGTTTTAATGCACTTGTGACTGTTAGGGTTTAGCTCATAAAATTAACAGACATGTGAAAGCACCTTTCTTCTTTTACTTAATCTGGAAGACATGAAGCTAGTAACATATGACAGAAGCACATCATGTACCAACCTAAGTTAGGCATCCACATATTTGTTGTGCTTTTGCTGTGCTGTTGAATGCTTTATTTGTGGCAGAACCTGGATAGAATTCACTAAAAAGCAATTTGGGTCTTGTTGGGTATTGAACAGATATAGATTGCACATACTCTATATTGCAAGGACAGAGTCCAAACACATTCTGAAACCAATTTCTATTTGTTTTAGGTTTTTTCCTAGACAACGTGAATCCAAACCTGATTTGGCCTAGATTTTCATCAGAGAGGTCATATCGACATAATATGTATATTTTGCTATTTCATCTATCACTGTGACCTTGATCGGTTTTACCCTATTTTTTCGCCAAGCATACATGACTCAACAAACTTGTGTACTTATGAAAAACATCTTGGAATAAGCTGTCAATTACTTTATTAACCAAGCAATTTGGAGAGGGCAAGTCTTATTGCCACATTTATCTTGCTTATTGTGATTCAGACGATTAGATTGAGTCATGAAAATAATCTATTTGTTGTGTGCATTTATTCTTCCGAGACTTGATTTCATCTCTGAAACACAGGGTTGTACCAGGAGACAGTACCCACCTGCTGAGGTAGCAGAGATACTGGAACTCGCAGTTACGAGTTTGCAGCCTTGCTTTTCTCAAAACTTACCAATCTACTGGGAAATACAGGCATACATGAGGATTATCAAGAGTCAAATGTTGGCACTCGTTCCTACCCCAAGTATCGGTCTTTCAACGGTCTCTGTGCAATGAAAGGTGAACCCGAAATCGTAATATGCCACCTATTTGAGTTGGCTAAACCATCTTCATTTATTTTTCTCTGCATTTGCAAGGGAAACAAATAAAAATTGAAGTATGTAACATATATCCATCAGGGGTCATTAGATTGCATAAGAATTGTATTTTTTTTTTGTTTTCGTTTTTTGGGTGCGGTAGAGAAAAATCTAGACAGCTCCTAGCTATTCCGGCTTTGTAGATGATTTCTTTTTTCCTTTTTGAACAAAAAAGAAAAGCTTCTCATCAGAATCGATGTGCAGTATACTCTATAATAAAGAACTTCTCAATGACTCATCTTATATGATGTTTTTCCTTTATTATTTGGTTTGTTTTTGGTATGGCAATTCACGTATGGCATGAAGATTCTGTATGACTGCAATTTGCAACCCATAGCTTGCTTTATTCTGAGTTGCACTGTATCAGCAGCATCTAAGGTGCATAAATCGCTTTGTTTCATGTATAATAATATTGCATGTGGTTATTATTTATACACCTTTGTTCAAATTTTTTTCGTGAATTTTTTTTTTTTGCAGGTGGTGGTAAAGTAAATTGTATGTCTCCAGTTATGTCCTACTTACGCATCAAGCAAAAGACCTTTGTTGGATGGGAGAGAGAACATAAATCCTAATATATAGTACATATTTTAATAGTAGTAGTTTTCCAGGAGTGGCTTATTATATATACAAATTAATCTAGTAGTAGTAGTTAGCAAGACCGATGGTACTGCTTGCTATATATCATCAGTATCTAAATAACTCAAATATCTCGATACAATTTATGCATTCCATGTCTCAATCAGTTTAAAATCAATGAGATGCTTGAGGTGTGCTGACCGACACAGCAATGCCTCGTGGTCGCTCAAGAAGGGGCACGTCATGGGGTAAGTCCTCATACATGCTTCGATGCAAAATGATCACAGAAGCTTTAAGCCATAATAATGCACACAGATCACAGTACAACAGGAGAAGTATCAAACATAATTTACAACTAAACATGTCACAACCTCTTTATGACATCAAGAGATTCCACCGTAGGCCGATTAGTTGAATCCATCAATATATGTGCCGGCTGTTAGTTGAATCATCCAAGCAATGTGGGAACTGCAGCTCTTCAACCACAGGAAGAGGGCAGCCACATCCATTTAACGTTTGGTATATGATCTGGTTTGACCTGTTTCTTACGTTTTGTCTCTCACAGTTCATCCGCACTTGATTTTGCTTTTAGTGAACTGTTTGTTAGGTTGTACTTCATCTCATTTTCCTACTTGTTTATCTCCGAAAAGGAGTCGATACAGAGTACAATCTGTGAGGAATTCCGGTGCTACCACTAATCACGATGGTGAATGGGGTAATCGAAAGGATGCTTTTGTTAGCAGTCGTCTTCTTTGCTGAAGAAGTGGTGGATGGGAAATCAAGCACTCTGTTGACCGAGAAGGAATTACTCGTAGAGGCGAAGTTAAATCTAATCAACAAGCCTGCAGTGAAGAGCATTCAGGTTCGCTGTAACTACAATTCCATCGGTATTTATCAGATACGCATTCTGCATGTTTGATCAAATGCTCGTCGTACGTCCTTGTACATGAAAACTTGCAGAGCGAAGATGGCGACATAGTCGACTGCGTTGATGTCTACAAGCAGCCAGCTTTCGATCACCCCCAACTCAAACGCCATACGATTCAGGTACGTACAAGTTGTTGCGCACTAAGTTCGTCACTTTGGATTGTGATCCGAGGACAAACCGTGGTGCAGATGAGGCCCGGCGATGAGCATTTTGGCAGAAGAGATGTGGCTTCTTCTCGGTCCTCTGTGCGTATGCCTGCCCAAGTGTGGCAAAGGAAAGGAAGCTGCCCCAGTGGAACAGTACCTGTCCTCCGCGTCCAAGAACATCACTTGCTGAATGCTCCTTCCATTACAAACTACGGAAGGAAGCCATGGAAAGGCATCACCAAGCACGAGGTTCGCGCGGCGAATCAAACAGTTGCTGCAGGCGTCGAAGGCTTGCACGCAGTTCGTCTCCGCACTCCGTCCATCTTGCGTGCTTCTCATCAGCTCGATATCGTAAGCTGATACCACCACTGTTTCCTGGTGGTTTCAGTTCGGAGTGCTCGTTGGCAGTGGATTCAACTACATCGGTGCCAAAGCAAGCATCAACATCTGGAATCCCTACATGGAAAGCGACGACGAATTCACGAGCGGCCAGATTTGGCTTACGAATGGGGAGTACAACAATTCAGACTCCATCGAGGTTGGATGGATGGTTAGTGCTTCATCTACTACTACTACTACTCGTGCAAACCTGCAGCACTCATTGATACTTGTTCCTCCTCTTGATAGGTAAATCCAAGTGTTTTTGGTGATAGGAGAGCGAGGCTTTTCGTGTACTGGACGGTATGCCTTCTTCTTCCTCCTCCATCTTCTTCTGACGATCTTCTCACACGATAGAAGAGTTAAAGCCATGTTTCAATCGATCGATCAGGCTGACTCGGGAAAGACGACGGGCTGCTTCAATCTCCTTTGTGCAGGCTTCGTGCAGACGAGCAGCGAGATAGCGCTCGGTGGTTCGTTTTCCGCCGTATCTATTTACGACGGACCACAGTACGAATTTTCTGTCAACGTGTGGATGGTAAGATAGATGATGTGCTTTATATAATTACTTTTTATCAACTTCATTTAGATTCTGTATGACCTAATAAGTCTGCAGGTGATGACAAGCTGAAATGAAGTTTTGAATCGTCAAATCAATATAGTATCATCGTATTAAGTTTAAGTTAGCCAAATATTATATCGTCGATATCATAGTAAAATCTTTAGTATTATAAAGTCATGAAGGTTTTAATCCCTTAATTTAAAGTAAGATCTATCATACCGAAGCGTACCACCCATATCGGGCAGTATGTACCGGTCCGACAGATTACCGGTACACGGACCGCCCGGTACCGCTACACTGCTACAATATAAAAAAATATAAAATTATTCGATATATCAAGGTGTATCGTTCAGTACACCCTGATGTACCATCCGGTACATCGGTACCGTACCGTACCGAGCCCGCGTCGAAACGCCGGTACGATACGGTACGACGAACCTTGATTTAAAGTAAGTTACATCACCATCGTATTAACATCTTTAAATGTAAAATCATAAAGCTTTTGATCCCTTACTTCAAAATAAGTTGATCCAGTACATCATTATCAACATCATCAGACTAATTTTTTAGATATATATATATATATATATATATATATTCGAATAAAGGGTGGATAGTAAAGATAACATTTCAAGATTTTTATCGGTATAAAAACATTTATGAGCTTAGGATTTATTCATCTATATTCTTGACATTGACGTGCAATTGCAGGACATCGACAATGGGAGATGGTGGTTGATGTACGGCGACAACGTCACCGTCGGATACTGGCCGGCTTCTCTCTTCAGAGGACTGAGCAAGACAGCCACGCTGGTGGTGTTTGGAGGCGACGTGTACAGTCCGAGGATGAAGCAGTCGCCCCACACGGCCACAGCCATGGGTTCCGGCAGTTTCTCCTCGGAGCACTTCGGCCGCGCCGCCTTCATCAGTAAGCCGCGGATCAAGGACTACTCGGGAGAGTACAAGTATCCCTATCCCTTTGGGACGTTGAGCACCCAAACCAGCTGCTACAGTGCTGAGAACTTCGCGGACATCTTGTGGACGGAGCCCCTCTTCTACTATGGCGGGCCTGGCAGAAGTAATCCGTACTGCCAATAGCTTCATGCCGATGCAATGCTTGCTTGCCTTTTTGCTGTACATCGCTTTGATGATGCATTAATGGCAATTCCAGTTTCGTCTTGACCAAAACTCGGAGCGAATGGTATTCGATGAACACTTTAACACGCTCAGTAATTTAATACATCAGAATTATACTACAACAGCAATTTATGTACGTCTCTAAATCCTAATCCTAATCAATATACATCATCAGAATTCTTTCACCAAACTCTTCCAATTAGTAGCACCATAAAACTATTCTGAATCCTCTCAATTTTGTCAGCGGATGTTTTGTGATCTCACTCAGCCTCAGCTGTAGAGTGGAGAATCAATGGGTCACGTTTCAACTATGGAAGTGGAGGTGCGCAAAGTGGCAATTGTTTAATTCACACTTGTGTTTGTTTGATTACAAGTGACAAGCATTACTACAGTGGTAAGTGTATACCACTGCTGTTGCCAAGCATGATAAGTCTTACTAAAACATGTAGCTGTAGAGTGTCGATTTATGGTGAGCAAAGCTTCTCTACAGAAGTATTCCAACTTAGAAGATGAACAAGAAGCTTGGAAGGAAGAAGTAAGAAACATTGATGACCGCAATCTAAATCTAAATGCTCGCACAATTGATATTAAGTTTTGATCACTCTTTAACATACCTTCTATTATCTTTTTTTGCTCTCTCTCTCTCTCTCTCTCTCGTCTCCAATCTTACCATCATTTTGTTTGGTTTCTATCACATATTGCTATTTATTTCGGGAAAATTATCTTTTTCTTATGGTATATATTTTGAACATTGAATTTACCTAATATAATCTTAAATATATGAATAATATGTGAATGAAACTTCTTTAACCCAATTAGAACTTAGTCAAGTATAGTCAACTCCTATCCTTTATCATCTCTACTTCTAAATATTAACCCTGGGATGATTGCTCTGTTAACCTTGTTGAGTCTAAACCATTAGTTTAAGATATCTAAACTAAAGTTAACAATAATATACTTATCAAACCCTTATAACTCAATATTAGTTTATCTATGAGACTAATCGAAATGTTATAGATATAGAGATCATATTAAAATGGAAGAATATTTCTCTAACCTAGTTTAGTTAAAGTGGTACATAATAATATCAAAAGTTCATTAATACTTCAATTAGCCCATAAGTGTTTGATCAGAGTAATAATATCAATCAAAGCTAACAAAATTAATAAGTCAATTATCGAATCAAGTAAGAACATGGTAAATAATATCATAATGATCTAGCATTAGATGTGAGGAGAGGTTTGAGTATCAATTGACTATCTATGTACCAAGTCAGATGAAACATCACATCATGAAGTCATCACTCAACCTATGTGTATTATATTAGAATGTGTTTATGCTTGAAGTTATAAGTAGGAGAGATTAACACTCTTAAACTTAGTCCAATAGATATGTTATGCTAGTAACTTAGATTAATAAAATTAATAAGTAATTTATTAGATCAGTCCAATTAGATATAGACATTGCAAAAATATAATCAATTTCTTATTGAAATTAGAGTTAATCATTGCCTACAATCGAAGAAATAGGTAGAGTTGTACTAGTTTCAAGATTCCTCAATCATGATACTCGGAGGTGCTATCTTTCAATCATTCCATCACCACTATGAACGATACATGTGAGTTTTCCATGCCACTTTCTTGAATAGGCCAATCATCTCGTAGCTAACCACAGTCGCAGCATCATGGAACGAGGAACCCTACCAAAAGAACCAAAGATTTTTGCGTCAATGAATCTTAATTTCCTTTGTGCTTTGGATGTTCGCTGTTGATAGTGTGAAGTTGTTCCAGATTATACTCCACCATGAATCCCGACCAATGGATCATTGCAGAAATCCACTGGTGTCGACCCCATCATGCACAGTGTTTTGCCATCTTTTGCTGCCACATCCCATTTGATCCCCTCTATAAAAGTGTAGCCATCGCTCTCCCATTTCGTCACGGTCCACTCGCTACTCTCTCTCTCCATATACATACATATCTGTGCTTCATGGAAGATAGAGTCCTTGAAATCGTGGAGAGTGTGGAGAGCTTGGTAAGGTCATGTGCTCCCTTCTTCCTCGCATCCATGGCTTTGCTTTTAGGGTTCCTGGTTTACTTCTACGCACCATACTGGAGAGTGAGAAGAGTGCCCGGTCCTCCAACAACGTTTCCTCTTGGCCACATTCCTTTCCTCGCCAAGCACGGGCCAGATATCTTGAGAGTGTTTGCTAAGAACTACGGGCCAATCTTTAGGTAAACATGCAAGACTCTCCCTTGTCATTTCACCAAGCAACATGCACACGTAGAGCAATCTCAAGTACACGAGTGGGAAAATAATCTCTGGTGTTGAAGGCTATAAAGTCGATGATGTTGAACTCGTTAATGATCAGATTTCATTTGGGAAGGCAACCACTAGTGATTGTAGCAGATGCAGAACTCTGCAGGAAGGTGGGGATTAAGAACTTTAAAGACATAAGGAATAGAAGCAGCCCTTCGCCTGCAACTGGGTCACCTCTACTTCAGAATGGACTCTTTCTTTTAAGGTACCGTACCCCCTTCTCTCGTATATATATAATGCTAGTCTTCTGGAGTGTAGTTGGAGAAGATGGACCTTATCGGGAAGGTCAACCAAGTCAATAGGGAAGCGAATCTTGTCAATTATGTTTGTCTCAATTAATATCAATATAGATTCATGACCTTATCGGATTTGGACATGTATCCAAGATCCATTTGATTCAAATCCGACGCGGTAATATTGCTATTTGAAGCACACACAAACAAGCACAGTCTATATATAGAGTAAAAGAATGAATGCTTTGACTTCAAAGGGACTCGAGGTGGACTTCAACGCGAAACATCATCACCTCCCTTTACCAACCCGCCCACCTCGCAAGCCTTATCCCCACCATGCACCACTATGCCACCTCCTTCTGCCACACCATCTCCACGATCCAACGCAACCGAGAAGACGTCCCATTCTCCGAGCTCTCCCTGCGCCTCGCCATCGACATCATCGGCAAGACCGCTTTCGGCATCGAGTTCGGGCTCCTCAACGACGACGACGACGATGATGATGGTTCCTGCTTCCTCCGGCAGCACACCTACGCCATCTCCTCCCTCAAGATGGACCTCTCCGGCTCCCTCTCCACGGCATTGGGCCTGATCGCCCCGGTGCTCCAAAACCCTTGCCGTGAAATATTCAAGAGGATCCCCGGCGCCGCCGACTACAAGCTGCACCAGATGAACCAGCAGCTGTGCGACAGGATCGACGCCATCATCGCGAAGAGGTCGAGCGAGATGACCCGAGAGTCCAAGGACTTCCTGGCGGCACTGCTGAACTCGAGACAGACGCGACTCGCCGAGAACCTCCTCACCGACAGCTACGTCCGAGCACTCGTGTACGAGCACCTCATCGCTGGGACGAAGACGACGGCCTTCACGCTGGCGATGACGGTTTACCTGGTCTCGCGACACCCAGATGTGGAGAAGAAGCTGGTGGACGAGATCGATCGCTTTGGCCCCCGTGATCTGATCCCAACCTTCGACGACCTTCACTCCAAGTTTCCTTACCTCGATCAGGTAAGCAGCAACGCAGCTCGAGGTTGCCGCACGTACGCTGCAGGACGAACACAACACAAGCTGTTCTTGTCATGCAGGTGATCAAAGAGTCCATGAGGATGTACACAGTCTCGCCACTGGTCGCAAGAGAGACGTCGCAGCAGGTTGAGATCGGAGGATACGTTCTACCGAAGGTGTCCTGCTGTCGTCCATGACAGAATCAGCTCGCTCATCCTGCAAGGGAACTAACAGTGGCTGCTTTCGCGCAGGGGACATGGGTTTGGCTTGCGCTGGGGGTCGTGGCCAAAGACTCGAAGCAGTTTCCGGCGCCGGACGTGTTCCGGCCAGAGAGGTTCGATCCGGCTCGTGATGAAGAGAAGCGAAGGCACCCGTACGCGCACATTCCATTCGGCATCGGTCCGCGCGCATGCATCGCCCAGAAGTTCGCCATACAAGAAGTCAAACTCGCGCTGATCCAGCTTTACCGGCATTACGTCTTCCGGCGCTCTCCCGAGATGGAGTTGCCGCCGGAGTTCCAGTATGGTCTGATCTTATCGTTCAAACGCGACATCATGCTCCGAGCAATCAAACGTGCCAATGATTAGATCAGCCAGTGATGCAAGCAAGCATGCATGTCGTGTAGTCAGCGTCTAAATAAGGCCAGTCTTGATGTATTGTTATATGACTCATGATGCAAATTATGCCTTTGGAATTGGCTCTGTAATTTCATGCTAATAGTTAATATTTCTTGCTTTAGAATGTTGCTTGAATGTGAGGTGACAATGGAATCCATGCATAATTTTGATGCAGTATAGCTTCAGGTAAACAGAGGAATATGAAAGATGAGCTTTACTTTCTCTTTGAGAAGAATTCTATACATTAATTCCATCTCCTTAGCTATGAGGGGAAAGAAAAAAAGAATGTGCTTACAAAAAGGTTGATCTCATTTTGAGAGGAACCAAAAAAGAGGGGAAAAAAAGAAGTGAGATATGAATTATATCAGTTAACAAATATACAAGAAGATAAACAAAAGAAAACAATTAGTTGGCCAATGCATCGTTCCTTCATTCATCTTCAAGCACCAACCTTGAGAATCTGAACTACTAGGTGCCAAAAGTGGCTTGAAAACAGCTGCATCATTCCATGCTGCAATCTGCAAATAATTAGCATCGGCAAGACCGATAAATCAGCAACGTCTGTGTTTCGAAAGAGTAAGAGAGATCGCCGGAGAAGGCAGGTGGATGCCAGCAAGTGAGGGGGATAGCATGATTCTAGAGTTGGGGCGAGGTGACGGGATCGGTCCATTGTTTCCGACAGGGGAAGGAATAGACCTCGGTGACAGGTTAACTTGCTCGAGCGCCTTAAACTGGAGATCGGTTGGGTAGTTCCGAACACACCTAATGCGAGGCCCAACCCCGGTTGTCCATTTGCGAAGATGATGGTTCACCGATTCAACAGTGGTCTCAATCTCATTGCCTTCATGGCACTCAGCTCCGAGAGAGTATGCAGGCCTCTCCTCTGCCTCACAGTCACTCAAATCTCCTGCATGATGTGTTGTAGATTCACCTTCTACCTCTACACCTTTATCGCTATCTGTCATTGAGTCACTCGTGGTCATCTTGAATGAAGGGTAGTCATCATCATAGCCAACTGGATTTCTCTGAAGAACCATGAACAATAATACATCAGTCTCCTGTGAGATTTTTAAGATAAACAGAATGTTTATAAGAGATTTTCTCTTCCAGAAATACTAATATTGGAGGCTCAAAATACTTCCTACCACTTAGCCATATAAATGGTTGATGAGGAAAGGGAAGCGAGAGATTTACCTTGACATCAGTGAGGTCAACATTGTTCTCTTCAAGGAAGCTGATAAATTCCCGGAAATTTTCTTCGGTTGGGAGGTAATGTCCACTGTGTGGCCAAACAGCCTACAGGAAAAAAGTCACTAAAATTATCAGATAACAATTTTATGCTTATCGAAAAGCTATATATTTTAAAAGTTGATGATGGTTTCGCTGAGATGAGCAAATACATCAACAATTGGAAGATTGACTATACTCGACGATCAAGGTTTTCAGTTGGACATAATTTGTCGACCAATACCTTCAGAGTTCCCTCCTTCACAATCAATCTTCCTGCAGCTATCGTAGCTCCACCAGCAAGAAAACTCGAGTGTTGAAATGAGCCCTTCTTTTTCTGCCCATAAATAAAAAGGAGTTGAGAATTACAAGTCTGCAAACAGAATGCAGCTACAGGGGAAGATCTTAAAACCACACCAAAGAACATATTCAGGTAAGAAATAAGATCCCTTCAACCTGGAAGGAGACAAGATTTCAGGAAAGAAGAATTATATGAAACGTAATTTATTTCCCAAATAAGAAAATAGTAAACAAGGACATGATACACACCTGGCCCACGTACAATGCCCTGATTGTACTGAGAACAAATATCCATTTAGAACCTTCAGTAGTATCCACCAATGTTCTATTTTTCTTGTAGACTAGCTTTCCATCCTCCACAATGACTTCATAAGCCAGCCTCTCTTTCTGAAATAAAAATGTTGCAAAAATGAATTGTTGAATGTTCAGAATTTTAATTCAATGTTTAAGATTTTTTAACTGGCAAGGTATGTACCGGTCCAAGATATTTAACACATTCCTGCTGAAGCTTGTTTCTAGGACACTTTGCAATGTTAACTTCTTTGCCATCACCAATATCCAACCTTCAATTTTCCACCCAAAAATAAGTTCAGAACCAAAACAAGCTACAATTTTTTCCATTAAGAAGGAAAAGAAACAGAAGTATGGATGTAAAAATGCAAGTGAGACATTCTTACCAGTAGAAAAATGGTTGTTTGCTCTCACTTTTAGTCCATATGTCGTAATACATATGCAGATTGTGCCCATAACGATGACGGGGATCAATCTGAAAGCAAAGACAAGAATGAGTATTCATTGCACTATCACTGCTAAATGTTGCACCTAAACCATAAGAGTTTATCCGAGTAGATGCCCTTTTAGGGGATTTGACTGTCACTTTGAGAAAACCAGTAATTTTTTCCTCTGTAAAACATTTGGTTCACATCATAATACATTCACAGAATTTTTTAGATTTAGAAAAAAAAAGGATTGTAGTATGTCTTGATTCCCCCGAACCCCACATCCCTGTTTTAGATTTAATAGGCATAAAGCAGGAAACAGAGATAATTAACTTACAGCTTCAAGCCAGTGTCGGAGTGCCAGCTTCTGTGCATTGTTATTCTTGGACAAACCCTTGCCAACCTACAAAGAACCAAAAAAAAAATCACAGTGATTTTGTAACAGTAATAGCTTAAAAAGACAATAGCTTCCAGCTTAATAGTGATATCTTAACATAGAACTATAAAGGCAAAAACATTAGTGATTGGACTACCTTAGCCGCTCTTGTTAGTGCCCTAGCCCAACGTGAAGCTGCTGTTTCTGGCTTTCCACCAATGAAAAATGATACTGAGCTGTGTTTGAGAGAGGCAAAATCCAATGCCTTCCACCTGTAACCAAATGAATATTAAATAAAAAATGATCGGAAAATTACTAATCGATTGGTACAAACTAGTAGTTAGAGAAGTATTGTTCTAGAAACTGACCATAATTCCTCGGCAACAACTGCACAATCTGCCAAATTTCTTCGAGTTCGATAACTCTTGTACACTTTTTGAAGCTTAACAGCTGCTGCATTGAGGTCTTTCGTAGGGCATGGGGACAACAAAGGACAGATTGCTGGGTTCAACACAAGAACTGTATCATGTTTGGTGTGCTGTGCCAAATTAGGTTGTTTTTTGTCATCTTCCAGGTACTGATTCTTGGATGATAAATTAGTTTCCAGCTTTACCTGCTCGTGATGCCAATTTTTGAAGCTCAATGATTCTCTCAAAGAAGCACTCAACTCAGTGTTGCCATGTAATTCATTTTGTTTGCAGCTAGCTGATCTTGTGATTGTCTTGACATCCTCAGTTTCTGTCAAAGCAAAAATCTTGCTTCTCATGAGTTCAACCCATGAGCAGTTGAGCAATGAAAGATGTAAGCCCATCAATGTTACTTCAGCACTTTGATTTAGGTGTGTAGTTTCCTGGATAAATAGCCAAAACCTAGTCAGCATCCCTACTGTTAAAATAACAATGCATCATGTATTTGAAATAATATCTTCATTCAAAGTTTGAACTATAATAAGTTCAGAGTATCCTAGTACAAAAGATTCTAAAATTTCAAGTCAATAGCAAAAGATCTCCATATATTCAGCATATGCATCTCATTCCCAAAAGAAAATTTTCCTTATCAGCTACTGACAGAAACGGGCATTGTAGTGCATTGTAGTTAGCCAAATAGCTTAATTACTAGGCATTTATCGACCAAGATTGCTAGTGCGGAACTAATTTGCCACCAAAGAAACACCAGTGATTAGCTTCTAGCAAGCAAATGATTTCCATGTCTGATTGATTGGCAAAGACATAGATAGCAAGATGACCCCTAAATTCCCGAAATATACAGGGCTGGAAGGAGTGTGAACAGAAAAAGAACGATTATGATGAAAACATGAATACTAAAATATTGATCCTAAATGGAAGATATTTATCTCTGCTAAACATTCACCAATTGCAGAAAAGAAAGTTTAAAGCTTATTCTTCTGTCGACACCAGAGAATCCTGTATCCTCTAGAAAACCTATTCCATTATATTACCAAGCAGTTGAAACATTTGCAATTTTGCAACCCTACTTCGGCTACAAGAGGAGCAACTCAATGCACACCCCAAAAGAACACTGTATCAGAAACATCAATGACGCTTCTCTCAAAGAAAGAACAGGAAGACGTAAAAATCAAATTTTTATCATGAAAAAGGCCTTCTTTCATCTTACCTCTGAATCCCTAAAGAGAATGTAAGTAACCCTGAGGTGAAGAGAAGCAGCACTCAACAAAGAGGGACACCAAAAATGCTGCAAGAACCGGAAGCGTGCAACCACCTGGCAGCCGATCGATTCCTATTTATACTCTGAGGATGGGCACCTCGATGTCGTCAGCCAAGACGAAATGAGTCGTAGGAGGCCCGCAGACTCAATAGAAAATGGACAAAAAATTTTCCAAAAGGACCACCAGGTAGTGAATTCTGGGCATAAATGGATTAGAGGCTGTTTTCTTGGTGGGAAAGATTCGAGGAGGGAGAGGAGATGTGGGAGGATATGGTCAGAAATTTCATAGTCAGGGTTTCACTGTCTAAGCAATGTGATGTCATGCTTTGAGGAAGTCAAACCGATGGTGTTGAGAACAATATTGTTTTTGACTGCTTCCAGCCTACCACCTCCCCAAGTAATCCCTGAGTCACTCGGTTGACCTTGAAATCAACCAAACCATCAATCAGGTGAAGCCTTGGCACCGACGGAAGTTCTGCAACATAGATCGAGAGTCGTCCATGATCCACTCCTCTTGCACATCATTTCCAGCTTAATTACGTCCTTCCTGGTGGTGGTGTCTCCACCGAAGGATGCTTGACAGAGTCATACGAAGGATCAAGACAGATGCTTGGTACGGAGGAACAAACGATGCACTGACGCAGCGTCAAACCACGCGGCGAAGGCAACAGAGGTCTGCCCCACTCCGGTCCGGAGTTGCTTGTCAACCAAGTTCACTGCTGGCGTATAAAGTGGGGACGAACAGCTCAGCACCTCAGAGACGGAGGCCAAGAAGATTGGAACGTGGTGTCGACTGAAATAGTCCACGTCTTTGCACGCTTTGACGTCGGAGGGGATGCTGCCGTTGACTCGGGAGAGGTAGGGATTATGTGCCGTAATGGCTGATGTCAAGTAATATAACTGCTTGCGATTACTAGCATCTCTACCCTTTGACCTCTGAGGTCGGATCAACCGGCCCAACAACCGCACGCTGGTTTGCCTTCTCCGTTCAAACTAAGATAGCGAGCTGAGCAGCTAAGGATCGACCATGAGAGTCCCGCGATCAAAGGCTGTCCTCTATGTTTGCTTCGCTGTGGCTCTTTACAGAGAGAAGCTGTATCTTTGTTTACAGTTTCAATGTGTTTGAGCGCAAGCAATTCCATGGAATTTGAGCAGTAGCTGATCGAAGAAGCCACAGATGCAGATACTGAAACTGTAGCCAACCACCGAAAAATTCTTCAAATGATTCAGTCGTACAAATGTTGTCAGCCATGAGACCCTTTATACAAGAGACTAAATAGAATGTGAAGCATTCCAGGACAAAATTTGAAACAGAACAGATCCATCACACCAAAATACATTTTACAGCAGGACCAAGAACAAAATGTTCCCAGTGCAGGAGTCAGCAAAAGGAAGCCATAGGAAATGTAGGAGATACAGCACAATGTATCATCTTTGTGTTGGTACAATGCCGACCGATGTTGATGATGATGAGGAAGACAAAGCAGACTTGTTGAATTCCTCCTTGTCCTCGCTGAATGCTCTCGACAGGGCATCCTGAAGTTCCAAAAATCTCATCCTCTTCTCTTCTGATGCATCATGCTCAAGATAAGCAAAATCTGTCGAGTCATCATCCATGATCTTATTGATAACCGCTGAGCACCGGGGAAAAAAGCGCTTCCCGAGTTCCACTGTTACGTGCCATTATCGACTTATATCAGTTGAATGTTGAAGGGCACTTAGAATCCAGAAAACTAACCAGAAAATAGAAAAATATGGCATATTACAATGTTTTCTCGATATGCCAGTCGATTCAACTTATCTCATACAAACAGAAGGTTATCGATTGCATGATGAATCAGCTACAGAAGTATGAAACTAACACTACAGTGTGAAATGATATCTGACCAACTTGTTACCATGTTCGAATGAATGAAAGAGGAACTTAAGTCAAATAAAAGCCACATTTTTCAAAAGATTGTAGCAAGTAATGTGCCTCATTCAGTCTAGCATAGAGGAAAACAGTAATTTAAATGAAAGGTAAACTTTTCAGATGATTATGACAAGCTTTGTTTCTCATTAAATTTGTCGAAGAGCACTAGTCTTAAACCTTCATTTAGCTTACTAATAAGTATTTAACATCAGTAAGATTCACCTCATCTTTCAGATTATCTACCACCACATTGCATTTTGAACCATCAACTTGATTGTCGCATTATGAATTGTTACTCGCAGCTAACGATATATTTTTTGACTTGAAAGGATCAAGCTATGAAAAGACTTCGAAAATGGAACAAAATGCTTGAAGGAATACCTGTTCTGGAAAGTGCTCTCATACGTGCTAGATGCTCTTCTTTGATCGTGAATGGTGTTTCATTTAGATCCGCTGCTGTTCTTTGATTTCCAGTAGAATGGCTAGTAGTAGACCCTAAGGTAAATTCTAATGTGCCATCAACTCGAGCAATGTCCATGGCAACCCTTGCCTCCATGGGGAATAATAATCTTGCAAGAGTGACTGCACAGTGACAAAACAATAAAATAAATTAGAGAAAACAAATGTATAATGAACAAATTCTAAAATTTTATATGCTACATAATAATTTCAAGGTCACGAGTTGGTGCTATGGAGTAAATAGCTAGAATTCTATAAGGTTCTGAATACCATACCATATTGATGTACCGATCAACTATCGGTATGGTACGTACAGAGCTGTACTGAGCATACTGACACACGATACACTAAGGTGTACTGATATACCACCCATACCGAGCGGTACGGTACGGTATTGTAAACCATTAACTTTTTCACCATAATTATGATCTTTAAACTAAGCATCCTCCCTAAGCATATGAATTTCTTGAAAACTAAGTTGGAAAAAAGGGATCTGCCTAATGTTACACCAATCATACATATTGTTAATTAGCATCTTATAATTCAAAATACAACAAGATATGCAACAAGAGCTAAGATTGCAGCAGTGTAAGTATAGATTTCGACCACAGAAAACCTTGCGATTACATAAATACATTACTTGAAAGCATCCAACAAAGGCGACGTAGATGTGACTAGGAAGTACTCATGCATCACACAATGACGATCTGAATTGGAGGTTTGATTAGAAGAATTGAAAACGGAACAGAAACTTGTACACATTGTTTGTGATCATGCTGAGCTCAATAAAACAAAAGTGATAGAATATATTTTTTAAAGTAATTTCTAAAATTTTGTTGACAACTAAACTCATTTTTTAAACTCAATAAGTTGAATATCCAATTGTAAGCGTACTTGAAAAGGATTGAAATACCAATTTTGTAGCTTCGGAAGAGACTGAATATGCTTCAATATAAATCACAAAATATAACTCCAACCATGTCTTAAGGTGATGACCAATAGATAATTACCTTTTTAAGTAGCATTACTGCATCATCAGTAAGATCACAAAAAACCAATCAAGATGAAAGGATATACATGCAACAAAAGTAGCTACCTTTAAAACCAAGGTGTAAAAGAAAGAAAAAATAATAAAATCATTCACATGATGAAGTCATGTGATATACACAACTAATTTATTGTGTTACTCAGGTTCTTTTGCATTCAACAAAGTGTTGCAAAGACATAAATTACCTCCAGGCACATATGAAAGCACTCAAGAAGCAAGGAAATTAAAGAAAAAGAAAACAATTTAGTAGCTATGGGTCTGAAAAATCTCAAAAACTAAAAAAGTCAATTTTCTCATTAGGCACCAAAGGATCGAGTAATGCCATACTTGTGGATAAATATTTGATGCAAAATCACAGCCTTGATAATACATAGACAAACAAACAAATTCATGAACCAATGCAACAAAAATATACACATGCCTATATGACAAGGAGACACTTCTTTTTCAGATTTGATTATCATGTATCTTTATCTTCTGATCCCTCCTGACTCTATATAATAACGAAATGATAATGATCATGATGCTGATAAAAATTATCATTAATCATTCTTTCCAACATCACTGACTACTTTCATCTGATCATGCTATATTTGCCGATCTACAAAGTCATAAATTTTCTTTCCTGCAGTCTATTGCTCAATATAGGTTGACATAGCTGGAACAGATATCCCAGGCTAAATGATACTTCATGGGAAGATCTGCTAAAGAGATTAAGTTTTTTTATAATAGATTGCTTTTTCTTGCAAGCATTTGTTGATGCTTCAGAGACTTGATGATTCTAGATTTTAATGCTCATGAAGACAATATGATAAAAAATTGAACACACTAAAGCCTTAGCTGCCTAGAAGTGAATTGAAAACCACAACATAATTTGGGTGTAAATAATTAACAATTGCTCATTTATGTTCAATCTAGTAGGGCACAAAGGAGAAAAAGCTCTGTGACTATTAGAAAAAAAGCAAGATAATATTAGGTAGGAAACAAATGAGATCACCTCGATTCTCAAGGTATAGTAATCTTCCCCGCAAGTCATCACCAGCTATTGCGAGAAAAGCAGAAGCTTCTCCTACTTGCGGGTCTCTTCTTTCAGCTTGCTCTAATATCTCGATGCACAAACGACTCTTGGGAGATGCTTGTCCTTCTTCAGTTGACTTGAAGTACTCCATGGACTTGGTGTGTCTCTTTGAGATCTGAACTGCTTTCCTTCCATCTAGTGTTAGATCAGAAGGTCTAGCTCCTTTTGTTAGCAGCGACACAATGATCTTGGGTTCCTTACGCATTGCAGCAATGTGAAGCACTGTATAGCCTCTGATGTTTCTATGGTTAATATCTGCAAGTTCAAGATCTAATAGCTCTGTTGTAACCTTTGAATCACAATATGCCACTGCATAATGCAAAGCACATGCATCATCTAGTGTTGTATTCCCCTCCTTCAACAGCATTCTTACTAAATCAACATCATCATTATCGAGAGCCCCATGTATTCTCTTGACACGTTTATCAGAAAAATTGATGCTTTCAGGTCCTACTGTTCCCAAATTCAAGCGTGAATCCATGATTTGCTTGACAATATCAGGAGTCATTGTCTTCTCAAGCGTAATGATGTCCAGGTCTGACTTAACTGCAATCTCTATGCACTTGTTGAATAATTTGGCACAAGAGCTATCACACAGGTTAGCGACAGATAGGATTACCGGAATGTCATCTATAGACACCTTGTCAAGAATATCAAGAAGGTGTCGCTGCAATGAAACAACTGGTCATTGACCATCATTTGAAAGTAGTCCTAACAAATAAGCATACAAATCTATGATACGACTATCAGTAAAAAAATGAAGGAATTAGAAACTCAGCTGTTGTGACAAGACATCAAGAAAAATTGCATCAAGATGACAGCCTCATAGAGCTAGTTTAAGATCACAATAAGAGGCCTAAAACATGCTCTGATAATCCTGGAAATATTGTACGAAAACCAATCAAAAAATTTATGATATCGTTCATCATCTTAAGTTTTAATTTCTCTTCTTAGACAAAATCAAATATAATAACAACTCATTTAAGAAGGTGATATGTAAAGTTGGCATAAGCCAACTGGAAGATGTCAAACAGAGGAGAAGCCAGAAGTGAAATGGTTATATATGTTGTAAAAATTGTAGTTGTGTTTTGTCTCTGTAGACTCCCATAATTTTACATGATGTAAAGTTTGCATAAGCCAACTGGAAGATGTCGCTGCAAAGAGAGGACCTATCGCAGGATCTTGGCCAGTAAGAAAGATCTATCATTGCTAGCATATAACACCTCATACATTACCAGGAAGATCTGTCCTCCTAGTTGTAGTTTATGCTCATATGACTAGAAAACGTACATCTTCAAGACAGCAAATTAAGTACCAGATGACAAGAAACAGACGGATAGCCTAAAGAAATGATCAGAGTACCCTCAGATGAGGTTTGGATGAAGTTGACCGCCCATCAATCCACCAAGACTCCATCAAGAACGCATTTTTATCATGATTCATTTCTTGACACCCACCTAAAACCACAACCACCTTGAGAAGGAAACAGCAAAAGGGAAGAAAGGGTCACCTGGAAAAGACTGACCAGCTCGGAGATTTGGAAGACGAAGGAGGCGTAGAGCAGTTCGACCATGAAATCGACCACCGGCCGGCACGCCTCGTGCCGGCACTCTTCGTCCACGCACATGCACACCTCCTTGGTCAGCGGCGCCACCCTCCCTCTGTAGAGGTACCCGAGCACCGTCACCAAGGCGTCGTAGCCGACCACGAACCCGCTCACCAGCTTCGACAGCTCCAGCCTCACCGGCGCCAGCGCCCCCTCCCGCTCCGCGAACACCTCCCGAAAGAAGGGGCTCCGCGCGGACAGCACGCACCGGTGGACTCCGACCTCGCGCGCCGGCGCCCCGCCGTCCTCGACAGCGATGCGGGCGTCGGCGAACAACTCGAAGTCCGGCGACTCGAATGCGGCACCAAGGTTGTCAGATAAGCGGCGGAGGGCCTCCACATCGGCAGCGGGGTCGGGCGATGCGCCGCCGGCGAAGTGGACGCTGCGGCTGTTGTCGGAGACGGAGAACGCGGGGGCGGCAGTGAGATAGTTGTCTTCCATATCCCGCCGTTATACCGCTTTCCGTTGTGCGGCGCGATATCCATAGGATACCGTATACCGTATAAAATGAGAACGTAAAAAAAAATAATTATTAACTCTGATATTCCAATCTTATATTTTAAAAAATAATATTAAGTTCGTATACTTGGTAAAACATTTAATCTCAATTCTCCTTACATTAATTTTATCAAATAAATAAATAAATTAATAAATAAAAATAAAAATAAAATTTTACTATTTTTAAATTATTAATTTTATATAAACTTTTCATTCATCGCTCGTCATACTTGTTGACCTGATGCTCGTCCGTCATATCTTGATGCTAAAGAGTTTACTTCGGACAAACGTTGGGCAAGTAAGTGCGATGGGCGAGTAAGTGTGACGGGCGAGCGTCGAGCGAGCGACGGGTGAGCAAGTGCAACGGGTTACGAGCAAAAAATTTATATAAAATTAATAATTTAAAAGTTAATAAAATTATATTTTTATCTTTTTCATACGTGATAACACATACGATTTTTTTATCGATGAAATTAACGACGTAAGAAGAATTATGATTAAATATTTCACTTTCGTAAATGTACCAACCCTATAGTACTTTTTAAAATATATGGACCAAAATGCTAATCATTGTCAACTACATTAATAATATTATGTAATTATGCTACATAAAAAAGAAGAGAGATTAAGAAAGAAATTAAGAAAGATTAAGATGAACTGTGATGGTTGATTTGGGTTCTATTAGAGATATTTGTAAGCACTTTTCTAATGCTCTACTACTTGGAGTTGAATGTTTATCAGCTAATAAATGGAATCAATTTTATACACATTATTTTTAATTGGCTTGAATGTCATTTTGTTTGCATGTGAAGCTTAGTGGGAAACTATTAATGAATGCATTTATGTCCCCACCAAAGCATTCGGTGTTAATTAAGGACAAAGGAGATGAGGTTGTGAAGATGAGATGGAGAAATGGATGCGATTTGGGAAATAATTAATGAACAATTTGAGCTCCCTAAAGTCAAAACATGGGGATAGGCGGCAGAGTAAGAATATAATACAAAAGGAATGGTGATTAAGCGAGAGGTGGGGTCATAATTAACCTCACCACTTTGTTTCTTAGTGCAAAACTTAGCCCACAATGAGGACACCAACACTGACTTCTTATGGCTTTGCTTCATGTAAACTCTTTGATACAACCAAGAAAAATCTCTCTCTAGTGCTATATATATACATATATATATTATATTGAGTGGATGATGGAATGGCAATTTAAGATGCAAGCAAGTTGCACTCTTGGGTTCAAATCAACAATTAATCAAAGGGTGTAATTATGGACCACTTTTTTTATGGGCTAATGAGTGGATTATATGCTAAGTTGCACTCTTGGGTTCAAATCAGATTGGCAATATAGTTAAATAGATTAGGTTTATATTGAAATGTTATGTATGACAAGTATATGGGTCAAGGACATGTACTATATTCCCCTTTGTCTCACTCAAAATGGCAAGTTGGAGTAACTGAAGTCCAATTGATTAGATCATTTATGAATGCTTCACAATAATTAATTACCTTTAGGCTGTCATGTTTCATGAATGATAAATATAATGTTTCAATGCTGGGGTGCCAAATAGCAATTATATGGTCTACATGAGATTAATAATAACAACAAGAACAAACAACATTATCAGAATATATATAAACATAATTTAAAAAGTATATGTAACATAAAATGAAGAAAAAAAAAGTGAAAGACTAAATGGCTTGTGTTGTCAATCTTCAAAACTGTGGCATTAGATGTACACCTAATGACTTTAGGATTTATAATAGCATTGCTAACCATGGTTAAAAAAACTTACTCAAATTTTCCACCTGTTACATCATTGATGAACTCAAATATTTTCATAATGATCAATTAGCTTTAATAACAAGTAGTATTATAAGACTTGAGACTAAAAGAAAATAGAAAATTAAATTAAATTTTGTGGGTAGATAGAAGTTGGTATGAGAATTTTAGTAAAATTAAAAGTTCTTAATATGAACATAGTCAAACTCTTGCAGTGAACCTTCCTATTTGGAAGTAATCCAATTCATTATAAATTAAAAAATAAAGAAAAATTTTGATAAAAAAGACCTAGAGACCTCAATTTTCTATTGTCATTTGTATATTCCACTTTATAATGTTAATGTTGATCCAAAGCTAAAAAAAGGTCTAGACTTAAAATTACAGGTAATTAGTGTAAAACTATAACAAATCTTTTGAACATATATTTCAAGTAAATCTCAGTAGAACTAGGTCATCATCAGAAAGTAATGATTTTGATCATCTATATATTCCAAAGTACAGGTTAAGAGGTCCCTCGAAAGTAACTCATCACATGATGCTGGAATGTGATGCTAAGAGTTCTCCTTTTGTTTTGGATCAATACAAATAACGAAGTTAGTTCAAGAATAAAGAATTATATTAGCAACTTGGAATACAGTAACATTTTCAAAGAATGAATTCGAATTGAAAAACAATATGATTAGAAAAAGAATAAATATTATTTATTTATAAGAGATTAAATAAGAAAAAGTTCTAGAGATATTGATAATACTATATTTAAAATTTGATATATTAAAAAAGTTAACACAAAAATAGTATAAGAATTATTTTTTATAAGGATCTTAAGAATAATATTGTAGATGTAAAAAAGATTTGAAGATAGAATTATAATTCTAAAATTTATAAAAGGACAAGATGTTTTGAATATCATTAGTGCTTATGTCCCTCAAGTCGGATTAAATAATCAAATTAAAATAAAATTTTTAAAAATCTTAGATGATTTCATTTAAGGAATGTTTATAATAAAAAAACTTATAATTGGAGGAGATTTGAATTATTATGTAAAGAAAACATATAGTGAATATAAATAAGAGCTTTGGTAAGAAATAAATATGGTGGTATGATTTTAGATTTTATAATTTTGTATGATCTTATAATTATAAATACTCACTTTAAAAAGAGAAATAAATATTTATTTACTTATATAAAGTCATACATAAGTTGATGGCATTAGATATTTATGTGAAATATAGAAAAAAAATATTATAAAAATTTAATAGGACTATATGGTGAAATTTTAAATATGATAATATAAACACTTTTAAGAATAAGATAGAAAAAGAGCCAACTTGAAACTTAGACGAGGATAATATTAATATTATTTGGACTATGATAACTAATAAGATTAAAAAGTTAACAAAAGAGATTATCGATAAAATTAGAGGTTGAGGTGTAACCTTAAAAAAGAGTTAGATGATGGTACGAGAAAAGATGATAAAATTATTTTTATAAATTATTTAATAAATATTCCATAAAAGGTTTTGATTTAATGATAAATAATGGTGGTAGAGTTAATAAATATATATTTATTTATAAAATTAGAGTTAATGAAGTAAAGATATATTAAAAAATATAAAAATAGAAAAGATTATAGGACCTAATGTCATTCCTATTGAGGTTTGAAAAAGTTTAGGAGATAAGAAAATAGTTTGGTTAGCTAGCTTATTTAATAAAATCATAATATTCAAAAGATGCTTTATCAACGAAGAAAGAATTTTTTAGTGTCAATTTACAAAATCAAGGGTAATATATAAAATTATCTAAATTATAGAAGAATTAAAGTCATAAGTCATACTATACTACGAGACTTTGAGAAAAAGATCAAAAGTAAGATAAGGCTTTAAACAAATATCTCTGAAAATTAATTTGATTATGATCCGCATTGAATTTCTAACTTTTCAAATATTAATAATGAACCTCCCTACTAAAAAAATATTATTTTAATTAATAAGAGCCTAAGTAAAATTAATCATAAATTTGAGCCATGAAGATAAGCCTTAGAAACTAAAGATTATAGATTAAGTAAAATTAAACTGAATATATATATATAATATAATTTTAGTAACTCTAAAAATAAATAAATTAATAAAATATAATTTTATTGATTTGAATATTGGGTAATTAGAAAAAAATTTATGTTTCCGAGGTAAGAATATTGAGATGGATATGTAGAATTATTAGTAAAGATAAGAAAATAAATATATTTATTCGTCAACAATCATATATTACTTTAATAAAATATAAGACGAGAGAAAATTATTTAAAATAATATGGATAATAAAAATAGATAAAATAATTAATATTAATGATATGATGAGAGATAAAAAAAAAAAAGACTTAAAAATAATTGAATAAAAATTTAAGTCTTTAAATATAACTAAGTCTATGACTTTTCACTAATTTCAATAATAACAAAGAATCCATCTTGTCGATCTCAAATAATTAGAATTGATAATTTTATTGTTTTATTATTATCGTTGCATTTGCATCTCCCACGAATCACCCAACAGTTCTTGCTGATTAGACTCATTAAATTACAATTTCCACAGCGTAATTGAAGCCACTCCCAAGGAAATACATCACATCTAATGAACTTAGTATTCAATTGCCAATCGACCCTAACGTGGCATTTATGTGCATCCAAACAACTCTCCTCTTTGACCTTAGAACAGTAAGGTCAACCTATTTCCATAGCATTGTAGATAGTATAAAAATACTTTTTACTCACATTGACGTGAAGAAAAGAGAGTTGAACGCTATTTAAGATCAATAGCAGTGAAATTAGTATCAATATCACATCTGAATGCATTTAAAATTATTAAATCACTCTTTCTAAACACAAACCTTATATTGCTAAAGATGATAATAGTGGTAAGAGATAAATATGTTTTAGATGATACCTATAACCAAACCAATATTTTTCTTTCAAATTTCCAATAGTTCAGACATATAGCTGAATCTGAAATTAGTGAATGGATTTCAATAGAATCATAGACTACTATACATTATTTTGTTGGAGATCCTAGAATGTTACAACAATGAATATATTACTCATTTATCTTCCTTGTCATAAAAGCAACATTTATTGAGTATTATTGATCCTTGCAAGCTTGGGAAATAAAGAACTAGGGTTCATTATTGGTGTTTGATAGCCAATGCATGCATGTGCATGAGTCAAAACTGGGTTAATTGTCACCAATTAATTAGGGTAGGGTCTTATTTTATGTATCATCATGTGGTCAAGTGGAACCACTGGTTTGGTGCATTGTGGTGGCTCTCTACGTGCCCGGTTTTCTCCCACCATCATCCATCTTTCATTGCATGCATCTCCTCCCCGACCTAGTAAGCTATACAAGTACTCAAAGCACTAAAAGATTGGCACTGTGTCTCACTCATCATGAGGAACAACTATGAACTGTTCAAGAGTCGACGCTTCTGTTACTGATGCATTGATGAGTTTGGAAAATATTGTCTATATTATTATTAATAAACACATTTTCCTTGCTTGTGGGTAATTGTAACCCTAAAAACATAGAAATACTATAAATGTTCTGAAACCGACATTTTAGTCAATATGACGTCTAGAGAGAGACAATACACATAATTGAACAAATATTATATATATATATATATATATATTATAGTAACTTAAAGGAACTACAAGTGTCATCAAAGACGCACACTTACCCCGATACGATTACCTCCGCTGTGGTTGGGAACCCATGTGGGACCCATACACAGATAATCGGGTCCCACCGATGTCCTTGGTGAGAGGGAAAATGAGTACGGAAGTAATGGGTGCAGCTACCTGCTTACCTTTGCCACCACGGCAATCCACGTCAACGATCCCACCCGCTTTCACCGGATCCGTCGCCCACAAGCAACGCCTACCCCCATGGATGACGTCGTCGGAATCACACGTTGGGACCGCCCATTGGTCCAAACTTGTGTGCGCCGAAAGCGTCGGGCGCATCTCATCAAAAGCCCACATGCTTTCCCGTTGCGTCGTCCACGACGTCGAGCGTGATCGGATCCGCACCGTCCATCCGGCGACCAATCAGCGCGGCCGAGCATTTACCGCCCCCACCGTCTTCTACGCGCGCGTGGAGCCCGTCGCATCGCACGTGTCGATTGGGGGGCACCTGACGTCACGATCCGGGACGTCCACGGGGCTACTGTGACGCGCGGTGTGGAGGTGACGCCATCGCGCGTACCCCATTATCGCTCTCTCTCTCTCTCTCTCTCTCTCTCTCTCTCTCTGCTGTTTGCCGTCACAGTGGCGGTGACGTCATCTACCACGTGACCCCGGACCGCACCGCCTCCTCCGCCCCATATGATCTTGTCTTCCTTGCTCGCTTCTGATGGTATAAATTGGACGGTTCGTCTCCGTCCCTCTTCCATCGAACCTCCTTTTCCGTTGGCTCTTCTCGGTGGGTGGTTCTCTTTGCGATCTCCGGCGATGGAGATAGCGGCGAGCTCGACGCAGGGGGGACTGGGGTTGGGAGGGGCGCTGACGATCGACGGGGGCGAAGCGCCAGAGAGGAGGATGGAACGGCTTTTGAGGGAGAGCCCGGTGGTGGTGTTCAGCCGGCCAGGGTGCTGCATGGCCCACGTCATGCGGCGGCTGCTGGAGGCGGTGGGGGCACACCCCACGGTGATCGTGCTGGAGGAGGGGGAGACCGCGCCGGGGCCGGCGGCGGCGGAGGCCATGCCCGCGCTATTCATTGGCGGGGCGGCCGTCGGCGGCCTCGAGGGGCTCATGGCGCTCCACCTCGGCGGCGGCCTCGTGCCGCTTCTCCGAGAGGCCGGCGCGTGACGCGGCCCGTCCAAGGCCAATATTGTAAATTTACGATATTTCCCTTCTTTTTCCTTCTAAATTTGGGGGACTTGTAAGCCTCTTCCGATGCTCATCTTAGTTTACCCCGTCACCTCTAACTGCCTTGTGAGAGAAAGCTTGTGTGACTCACTTTTGGGGCCATAGCTGGGTGAGTTCACAAGGCAGGTAGATGATGGGGTAAACGTCGGCGAGTAAGAAAAGGAATTCATGATTGTAAATACACGAGGGCGTCGTCGGGTGGCTTAATATGAAATGGTGACAAAGGAAGGGTTTAAAGGGAAAAAAAGGGTTTAAATCGTTTAAAGCGTTTATTTTCCTATAAAATATACGTATTTTGGATATTACTTTCAGTATTCCCTTTTGATTTTCTCAAATAATAATCTTAATTTTAAAAAAGGCCTAAATTGCTCCGTAAATTTTTTTAATCTTTTATGGTATCTTGATTAGTATAATAAAAATATCATAAAATTTACTTTAAAATATTATAAATGAATCAAATAAAATAAAAATGTATTAGAAATTATTTGATTTAAATAGATGTTTATAATCGTTTATGAACAACATCACTAAATAAAAATAAAAAAATTAATTTATTATAATATTTTGATCAACGTAATAAAAATACCATAAAGTCTACTTGAAAACATAGCATGTGATTCAAATGATTCCTAACCTCAACCAAACCAACTACAAGTCTAAAAATATAATATTATAATAATATATGAAAATAAAAAATGAAAAAGGTATAATATAATGTCACTAAAATAATAATAATAAAATCATAAGTCTAAATTATTTGGATATTATAATGTCACTCAAGAATTGTTGTATCGTTTGAAACAATACAAAAAAATAACAAAAAGGTGAAATGGTCTTGTCCGAGCATGGATCATCAAGCTATTCGAATCAAAATAACAAAAAGATAAAAATATGATGGGCCAAGTCCATTTCAATATAAAAAAAAAAGATAGATTAGGGCTCTTCTCATCGCTACGATATTATAACTACCTCTTCGCCACTATGATGTTGCTGCTTCCTTAGTGCATTTCTTCTCCTCTCTCCTTTTTTTTCTTCTTCTTCCTTATTTCTCCTTTTTTTTTTTCTCCCCCTCTATTCCTCCATTAGACTTTCCTCTTCAATATTTTGTTCTTTCTCATCAAAACACAAATACATACCAGTGTATCATATGTTGGTATATTAATACAAACTAATATATCGTGTATTGATATACTAGTATGAGACAGCATGTGCCATGTCGTTGGTCGACTAGCACACCGGCTAGGACGGGTAAATCAAATTTTGATATCACTTATAATGTTTCAATAATGTTTATAGTGTTTTTAGTATCTAAATAAAAATACTATAAAAGTTATTAAAAAAATATTATAAATAAGCCAAATAAAAACATGGTAATAGTTTAAAACTGATTTAAAAAGAGTGAAAAAAGTTAGTGAGGGGTATTTTGGATATTTTTAAATTAAAGATATTATTTTAGGAAAAAAATATGGGGTATCCATTGGAAAATACTCAAAATATCAGTATTTTCTTGGGAAATCGTCCTCTCTTTTTTTCTACTTGCTCTATTTTTTAATGACTTTTTTTTTATCTTTTTCTTTTTAACCTGAATTATTCATATGAAAATTGTTAGGGTGAAAGACTGAGTAGACTAATAATGAATGAGATGTGATGAGGGATACAATAACAAGAATAAATGATGAGGAAAGCTAAAATTGGTAAGGGTGCTCTCAACCATATATGGTTTACTCGATGTATTAGTTGATCATGAAAACACATAAATAGGAAATTTAACATATGGATAGGATATTTGAATATCATATTATTATGAGCTCGAGATTCATTTAGATATATATTAATTCAATATATCGATGGAAGGAGCCAAATAGTCATCACAATAATGATAATTATAATATCTGACACTTCAAACGAGTCTTATGAAACTATCTTAAATTACTTTAATTCAAATCTAAAATTACTCTTGGGTCAATAATATTTTTTACTGTATTACTAGTTTGAACATCGGAAGGATTTTTTAAATACACATGACTCCTTACGATCCTCTAATCTCTTTAACATCACTAAACATACAACTGTGGTTTAGATCAGAACTAGATTGGATGTGTGACTTCTTGAATTCCAAGTGAATAAAAAGATTAATTTTTAAAGATTAAAATTAACACTTATACTTTTATTGCCTTTTTTGTTTATTTACCCTCATACCTTATATTATATTATTGATGTGATGGATTTGATTTAATATATTTTATCTATATAATCCTTTTTATTTTTTCAATTATGTCACATGAATATATTTCTTATTTCTTTGCAAACGCAGCCTATACATTGAACAATCCAACCCTAGCTCAAGCCCTTATATGTGGATGCTATGATTGGAGAAATAAAAAGTATTGTCAGGAAATATAGGTGCATCGTAAATCTATTTTTTTTCTCCCTATTATCAACTTAAAACTCACTCCAAAATGTCGTAAAAATGATATGGAAAAATAAGATTAAAGTTTAGTTTTACAAAACCTTTGTCTCTTTATACTTTGAGAATCGACTCTCCGTAGCGCAAGAATCCTAAACAATTTGATGGTCAAAAAAGATTTCATGTATCCTAAAGAATATTTTTCTTTTTGATATGATGATATATTGGTTGATTCCTCCCCGCATATGATAGTTGATAATTTATTTATCATCCTTTGATTCTTTTTTAAGTCGATAAATATTATGTCAAAAGAGTATAACAAAAGGAGTTCATCGAATATATTTTCTTAGATGTCGTCAATGTTCTTGTCATTGACTTGGAAAGGTTGTCGAGAAAGCTTGACCCTCCGACATGGCTGCCTTTTGTTTTCTTCAGCATCTCTTTTCCAAAGCAATATGTTATTCCATGAGCTGTGCTGCCTTTTCTTGACGATGTCCAGTATGATGTTCTAATGAGAAGAAAAAGAACGATTCTTTTGACGTTACACGGAAGCACAAGACAATACTCAGATCAATCAACTTCTAGATCTTATTAGAATTCATGTAATCTAATATTAAGTGCCTTTGAATTGCACATTGTCTTTAGCACGACGCAAATGATCAAATCAAACATTGAACACATCGAATTATTCATTCTTCACGCAATCTCTTTTGGACTCTTGAGAAATTTCCTAAGGTTGAATTCAAAGTCTACAAATATCATAATCTTGTCGACAACATCTTCGATTATAAATCTACCCAACAACTTAAAATAATATGCATTAAATATGACCTATAACTTAGCACATCAAAGCTTTTAGATTATCAATTTCTTATAGATTAATCTTAATTGGTTTGAAGCCATTCTATTCAAAAAATATCGCCACAAATCTAAACTAATTCATCGACAAACTTATAAATCAAAAAAGTGTTTTTTCTTGGTGTCACTCACCCTCCTATCATGTCATATTTCAAGCACTTGTCCAATCCCATCATGATGATGTTACCCACAAGGAATCTGAGTTCGTCATGATAGAGAAGGACACAACCCATCTCTTTGAAGCTAGACTAAGATGGATGAACACCCATCTGCTGCCCCCACCATGGCAATGACATGCACCAACAAACACCCTTCCCCTATTGCATGAACCTCAAATATTATTCCATCTGCATGACTAACTCTCTCTCTCTCTCTCTCTCTCTCTCTCTCTCTCTTCTAATCCATCAATATCATGAATTTATTATGGATTTATAATCCATAAGTAATTATCATCATCAATAAAATATAAATAAAAAATAATTGTCCTATATTCTACCAAAACAATGGATCTGATAAGAATTGATAACATGGTCAACGTCAACTTGAAAGGATCATGGCTAACATGTCGATCCAAATTGTGAATGTTATGTCATTCAAGAGAGAGAAAAAAATGGCCATTGATCATGCTTGATGAATCAAACCACATCAGCATCCATCCTTTGATATTTGTTCATCATCTTCCAAGAATAAGATAAAATTATATTAAATCAACCTAATTCAAGCATGAATTTATGTACCCTCTCACGTAAATAATAAATATTATTTTTCTCTTGTTTTTAGATTCATCTATAGATATATTAAGTAATTATAAAATAATTAAACCTTGTTTTTCCCGTACATCAAAAAGAAAACTTTCTATATTTTGATTTATTAATGATACTAAATTCGATGATCCAAACTGCTCGTGAATTCCAATAATTTATACCATCAAGTGCAATTTAAGATTATTGAATTTAAGGCTTCTAGTACAACTACATCCATACCAAACAAAATTGGGTTATATATATAAAGGATTAATTCTTTAAAAAAAATTATTAATATATATATATACTTTTTTAATGAAGTGCTCCACTTTTAGAATTTTCTAACATCACTCTTTTTTTTTTTTTCATCTAATACTTGAAGAAGTATCCATAATTTGATAACTAGTCGTCTACTTCTTTTCCTATGAATTGATCTATAGGATTACCCAATCTAGTTACAATATTTTTTACACTGTATTATAGTATTTTCAGTAATTCTAAAAAAAATTATAACATAATATAAAAATATATTATAGCATTTTTTTATATATTATAGATCGTGTTATCCTATTTTCAGCAATATCACGAAAATACTATAGTACACTAATTTTTATTATATTATAATTTTTTTTAATATTATTAAAAAAATATTATAATATAACATAAAAATATTATAACCGGATCGATTCACTCTATGGATCAATCCATAGATAAATATTAAGATATTTCTATTATTAGGCAAGACAAGGACGTTGTTATGAAATTCTAAAATTAGAATGTGTTTACTAAACAACACCCAAAAATAAAAATAAAAAAGGTTTTTCTCGAAAATTATCTTATACACATATATCGAAGTCAAACTTTTATGCAACTTGTTTGATTTCATATTCTTCAAGTGGGGTGGGTGCTCGACCAATACTCGCTCCCCCCATTCTTTGTTTGATTTCAATATGTTTGTGGTTTTCAACGCAATCGATTTCTAAGAAATTTCTCTCACTAGTTTCTCTTGTTGAAACCGATCGGTCTCCATCCATTACCATTACCATTTCCATGACCAAGAACAGCTATCTTATGTGCACCCACCATGGACGACTTCATCTCCTCTTTAACCCTCACTCATAATAAATATTCATATGCTTACACGTCATCATTTAGCTTAATGACGCTTTTCTCCCCATTTGATCTCCTTAACTTTACCATTCTCAATGTACTCGTGTTCTATACCTGAATTATGATTGGGGATTCTTGACTATATTCAGATGTTACCTCCAATAACGGGCCCGGTAACTGTGTCGGTAAGAGCATTGGGTAGTTATGGCGTCGCAGATAAACGGGCGGCAAATTCCACGCCGTCTTCCGACTTGACTGTCGTGCTTGGCGTCTTGTACCGGATCCGGTTCCATGGCCGCCACGTGTAGTCAGGAAGGCCGGCGAAGAGGCGGGTCCCGGGTTGCCTCTCCGTATACGTGTCGTGGGTAGGAACGAAAGCGTGTGCGTTAGTCGAGCTCCTTCGTCGCAGCTCACCCTTTGCGTGATTAGTTTCGATGAGCTCGCGTCGCGAACAGAGGATATAGAGGACTCCCAGCAATGAGACCCGGGGGACGAGCAAAGGACCGAGAACTCGTTGCGTTGCGCTTCGAGAAGGCGGCAAAGCGCCGTTCCTGGGTGATCCCGGTCGCCTCCTGTCTAGTCTCCTCCATCTTCGCCCGCTCGTAACTCGTCGAGGAGGAGGGGATCTGCGCCGCGCACGGTCCCCGAGGCCGATCGGACGGTCTGTGGTCCTGGCAAAGTTGGAATTTTGGACGGCCTTCGGCTGTGATTCCAGGTGCGGTTTGGTCTGTCTCTTTCGCGTCGAGCTGAATCTTGGATCTCTTCGAACCCGTATCCGTCTTTCTCGGCCTCCTCACTTGTGTTCTCCATTTGCTTCTTGATCTCTTCTCGTGGGATTCGTTTCTTTTATGGATTTGATGGTCGGACAAATCGTGGGCGGAACGACCCGCCGCAAGTTTCTCGTCTAATTTGCAGATCCACAAGTAATGGCATCGTGAATTTTTCGTCCCATTGGCTTTTCTGCGTCGAGGTTTGCGGTTCGAGCTGCAAGATTTGGATTTTCGGTGTCTTTTCCCGTGAATTAGCATTAGTGCACGCCCTAATTCTTGATGCCTCTGAGTTCAGCTCGAATACTCGCCGCCGATCTTTTTCAGCTGCTTTTCTAATGAGTAGGAAGAGCTCTAAATTGGTCTTAGTTAAATTAATGTGGAAATTTTTAGATATTAACTGGAATTTTGTCGGCCCAACATTCTGGTAAACGTTCTTGATTTTTTTGAACAAATTGGCCAGGGGAAGACGCGCGCTGTTGTTGGAGATCAGAGAGAAAGCTTCCAGCTTTGGGAAAATGGGGAACGGCCGTGTCTAGGCTGAGCCGATAGCAAACCTCAGGGAAGGAGCGATGGCACGGAGAGGAAGGAAAAGGGATCGGCTCCGGTGGAGCAAGCTCTATTCTTTCGCTTGCGTCCGCCCCACCGTGTTATTAGATGATGAGCAACCCTCCTCCCTCCAAGGTCCCGGTTACTCCCGCATTGTCCACTGCAACCGACCCTTGCTCCATCGCAAGAAGCCCCTCGATTACCGCAACAACTACATCACCACCACCAAGTACAACGTTATCACTTTCCTCCCGAAAGCCCTCTTTGAGCAGTTCCGCCGCGTAGCCAATATCTATTTTCTCCTCGCCGCAGTCCTCTCCCTCACCCCTGTCTCTCCATTCACTCCGGTGAGCATGATTGCGCCTCTGGCCTTTGTTGTCGGGCTGAGTATGGCGAAAGAGGCACTGGAAGATTGGCGGAGATTTATTCAAGACATGAAAGTCAACAGCCGGAAGGTCAGTGTCCACAACGGGGAGGGCCAGTTTGGCTACAAGCAATGGCAGGATATTCGGGTTGGGGATATCGTGAAGGTGGAGAAGGACCAATTTTTTCCCGCTGATTTGCTTCTACTGTCATCGAGCTACGAAGACGGGATATGCTACGTGGAGACTATGAATTTGGACGGCGAGACAAATTTAAAGGTCAAGAGATCTCTGGAGGTGACTTTGGCTTTGGATGACGATGAGGCCTTCAGAGACTTCACAGCCACCATAAATTGCGAAGACCCAAATCCTAATCTCTACACTTTTGTGGGTAACTTTGAGTACGAGCGACAGGTCTATGCGCTTGAGCCAAATCAGATTCTGCTGAGAGATTCAAAGCTTAGGAACACCACTTATATCTATGGGGTGGTTATCTTCACCGGTCATGACAGCAAAGTTATGCAAAACGCAACCAGTTCACCCTCTAAGAGGAGCAGAATCGAGAAGAAAATGGATAAAATTATATATGTCCTCTTTACAATTCTCGTACTCATTTCATTGATTAGCTCAATTGGGTTTGCTGTGATAACAAAAAACAAGATGCCGGATTGGTGGTACTTGCGACCAGATGATACATCAAGCTTGTATGATCCATCAAGGCCAGCGTTATCTGGTGTTTTTCATCTGGTCACAGCTCTTATACTTTATGGATATCTGATACCTATTTCGCTCTATGTTTCTATTGAAGTTGTTAAGGTCTTGCAAGCGACCTTCATCAACCGTGATGTTCTCATGTATGATGAGGAGACAGGAAATCCTGCACAAGCTCGAACTTCAAACTTAAATGAGGAGCTTGGGCAAGTCGACACGATTTTGTCAGACAAAACGGGTACTTTGACTTGCAATCAGATGGACTTTTTGAAATGTTCCATTGCTGGAGTTTCGTATGGTGTCCGTTCTAGTGAAGTGGAAATTGCTGCTTCAAAGCAGATGGAAACAGAAGCTTCTGGTACTCCTGAGCACCAAAATGGCACTCGAGATCTTTGGGAGGATAATCGGGGTGCTTATGGATCATCAGAAATTGAGTTGGTAAATGGGATTCCTAGCATGGTTGATAAGCCACGAAAGCCTGCCATAAAAGGCTTCAGTTTTGAAGATGACCGCCTATTGAATGGAAACTGGACAAAGGAACCCACGGCCAACACCATTCTTATGTTCTTCAGAATACTTGCTCTGTGTCACACAGCAATTCCTGAGCCAAATGAGGATACTGGTGGATTCACCTATGAAGCTGAATCACCAGATGAAGGAGCATTTCTTGTTGCAGCTAGGGAATTTGGGTTTGAGTTTTGTAAGCGGACTCAAACTAGTGTATTCATCAGGGAAAAGTATTCTCCTTCTGAGGAACCTGTGGAAAGGTCATAACTCATACATATGTTGTAATCAGTAGGTTACCATTTATCTCTAATGTGGATTTTTGGCAACTTAATCATTTATTATGTTACAGGGAGTTCAAGATTCTCAATCTATTGGAATTCAGCAGCAAAAGGAAGAGAATGTCTGTAGTTGTGCGTTACGAGAGTGGTCAGATTCTTCTTCTTTGCAAGGGGGCTGACAGGTACGACTATTTTATTAGTCGGGTTTACAATATTGGTTGTTGATGTATCTATACCTTTGTGAAAATATCAATTATCTATACATGTTTGTCTATTCATGTTCGTAAATCATCTGATGCATATGGTATATGACTTCCATTATAACTCCACTTTGATGCTTCAAATTATTTTCTTGAGCAGCATCATTTTTGATAGACTATCGAAAAACGGAAGATTGTATGAGAGTGATACAAGCAGGCATCTAAATGAATATGGGGAAGCAGGCTTGCGGACATTGGCACTGGCATATAGGGTGCTGGACGAGTCTGAATATTCTGCTTGGAACACAGAGTTTCTAAAAGCAAAAACCACTATCGGACCCGATAGAGAAGCTCAAGTTGAGCGAATCTCTGATATTATGGAAAGGGAATTAATTCTTGTTGGCGCAACCGCTGTGGAAGATAAATTACAGAAAGGAGTAAGGCTTTTGGCTTGTTTTGTTTTTTACTACCAATTTGCTGGTCCTTCACTTCCTCTGACTATTCACTCCCTCCTCTACAGGTTCCTCAGTGTATAGACAAGTTGGCACAAGCTGGTCTCAAAATCTGGGTTCTGACAGGTGATAAGATCGAAACTGCAATTAATATAGGGTATGCCTCTGGTCATTCACGTAGCTTAACACCTATCATTATCGATGGGGTTGTGTATTATTTAATGTCACTAGGAATACTATGCCGAATGTTATTTCTCTTTGCAGATATGCTTGCAGTTTGCTTAGGCCAGGGATGAAACAAATATGCTTATCCACTGTGAGCAATGACTTATTGACACAGGATGCAAACAAGGTGCCTCTTTATTATATGCATTCGATTACATCTCTACTCTTCTTCTATGAAGAAAGTTGATTTTATGGTAGGCTGTGTAATTATGTTTGATGACTGATCAGGCAGCAAAAGAGAACATTTTGATGCAAATAACTAACGCTGGCCAAATGATCAAGCTGGAGAAGGACCCCTATGCAGCATTTGCTCTAATAATTGATGGAAAGACACTAACATACGCCTTAGAGGATGATGTAAAGAATCAGTTTTTGAGTCTAGCAGTCGATTGCGCATCTGTCATATGCTGCCGTGTCTCCCCTAAGCAGAAAGCACTGGTACCATAAGACATCTTCCATTCATGCACTTGACTTTCATAAAAAAATGCTAAATTGCTACACAAGTTTCCATCAAGTTGTTAAAAGTTCCTCTCTTGCTTTAGGTCACTAGGTTGGTAAAAGAAGGTACAGGAAAAGTTACTTTGGCCATAGGCGATGGTGCAAATGATGTAGGCATGATTCAAGAGGCTGATATTGGTGTTGGTATTAGTGGCGTAGAAGGAATGCAGGTTTGTGAAATGATGTAATTGATGTTTGTGTAAACTTCAATGTTTGTCAAGTTCCAACATTTTAAGACGTCCTAATCACCTACAGGTTGAGCAATTTTCTAAGTCTTCATGACTGTTTGACTTCCTACAGGCTGTGATGGCTAGCGATTTCTCCATTTCACAGTTCAGATTTCTTGAACGACTTCTTGTTGTGCATGGCCACTGGTGCTATAAGAGGATAGCACTCATGGTGAGAAAAAGAGGGACAATTATTTTATGGTTTTGCGCCAAGCGCATGGCTCTGCTGTTTACTGATTCGGTTTCTTTGGATTGCTTTCAGATTTGTTATTTCTTCTATAAAAACATAGCTTTCGGCTTAACAATATTCTACTTTGAGGCATATACTGGCTTCTCTGGGCAATCGGTGTATGATGACTGGTACATGCTTCTGTTTAATGTTGTTCTAACTTCACTGCCGGTCATATCATTAGGAGTCTTTGAGCAAGATGTCTCTTCTGAAGTATGCTTGCAGGTATGCTTATTCAATGTTTTTCTCTAACCACAATCTTATGCTCTCAATCCTTGAGTGTTAGAATAAGATTCACAAATTTCTTAGGATTCCTTTCTAATACTATCAACCAATCTTTTACGCGTCTAATGTCTTTATCGAATTTTGATCTTTTATTATGCACCTCGGTTATGATCTGGAACCTATCTAATTGCGTGGTAGCTACATCTTCTGCAGTTCCCAGCACTGTACCAGCAAGGACCAAGGAACCTGTTTTTTGATTGGTATAGGATCATCGGTTGGATGTTCAATGGCCTTTACACATCCATCATCATATATTTCCTCAACATTGGTATATTCTTCCGTCGGTCATTCCGCTCAGGGGGACAGACTGCTGATATGGCTGCCATCGGAACGACCATGTTCACCTGCATTATCTGGGCTGTCAATGTACAAATTGCCCTTATCATGAGCCACTTCACATGGATCCAGCATCTCTTTGTGTGGGGCAGTGTTGCTACATGGTACCTCTTCTTGCTTGCATATGGAACATCGACCCTTTCTGGGAATGCCTACCAGATACTCGTGGAAGCACTCGGACCGGCACCCATGTATTGGGCTGTGACACTTCTAGTTATCTCTGTCTGCAACATACCATATCTGCTCCACATCTCCTACCAGAGGGCCCTCAATCCACTGGATCACCATGTGATTCAGGAAATCAAATACTACAAGAAGGATTTGGAGGACCAGCGTATGTGGAAGAGGGAGAAGACCAAAGCCAGACAGAAGACTAAGATTGGTTTTACTGCAAGGGTGGATGCCAAGATCATGCAGCTAAGAGGGAGGTTGCACAAGAAAGTCCCATCATTGACCATTCAAACTATATGATAGCTTATCCGAGGCCCTATGTTGATTTCTGGTATGTAGTTTTCCATTTTGTGCGCCGTTCATAGTTTTGGCTTTCAAATTTTCCCATACTATTGTCCACCAATTCATTTCATACTATTCTTCTAGGGTACTTCCCCTGATTGTATAAAGCCAGCTGCTGTATTATATTTGTAGTCAGTCATGTTGAACTGAAGCTGTATTGAAATAGTTGAGATATACGTAGTGCATAAAGGTTCTGCATCATTGCCATTCCTTTGGATTGCTTTTTGCAAACCCTCAGTGTAATGCTATATTTTTCCATGTACACTTTATGTAGAATAACCAACCCTATCGAAACACTGTAGCTTATGCTAAGATGACTACATTTCAGTAAACATATTTGCACCGGTGGAGACATAATTTCCTGCTTCTTGAATGAGCTAATTGCTTGATTATTTCAATCTCTGTCTCACACATAAATATTTACTTTGTGTATTTTCTAAAGGAGTTTCTTGATATATTTGGTGTACAAAATTCAGTTAAAAGGATGTAACATTTATTTTTGTGAGTGTAATAGTAGCTCAGCCTTTAGGTGGACATTCAGTGGGAGTTTTGTCTCCTCCTCCTCCGCCTCTTTCTTCCTCCTTCATCTTTCCACATGCATGCATGCAACCAAGACAAACATATTTTCGAGCAGCATCGAAAACAACAAACATTCACCTTCAAGGACAGATTTTTTCTTCTCCCTCTTACTCATCTGTAATGTATGTCATGTTCCTGCACGCAGCAGTACCCACGAAGAAACCACTGCTGCTATATAAACTTGGAAAGGCACTTTTGGGAACGTAATGTATACATACATACATACACGACCTTTGGATTCCAACAAGTCTGCGTCCAAATTTGCCGTACTCTCTCGTCTTATTTCCTGTATCATCCAACATCTGGACCACATGGATCTGCGGATGCCGTCAAATTGGCCACAAGACACTATTATTTGAATCATCAAAAGCCGGACTGCTTTGGATGCACAACATTTTTGTTGTGTGCACTGATTACAGTACCAAAGGTGAGAAACAATGGAGCATTGCCCGCACGGGATTTCTGTTCCATCGTTGCTTGCAGCTTGCTTTACCTTCTTCTTGGCTCCATTCATGGTTTTGTTTTTTTTCTAAAATCTATATGGAATATCTCCAAATTTAGTTATAAGGAATTAATAGATGTACGATCGGTAACTTCGACGTAAGCAAATCAGATCACAAATTAATAAGCTAATTATCTCATCGAACCGTATCACGATAAACAATATTAGAGTTGACCTAGTATCGGGCGTCCATTGACATTAATGAGATATTGATCTCGTCGTGTCAAACCACATGGTTATAAGCATTCTAGTTAACGAGTCATTTTTTTCTAGTCGAACTGAATCGCAATACACGATATCAGAATTAACTTAGTATTGATATATGGGATGAACAAAACTGAAATGTGACATTTCAGCTTGCTACTGTTGAAGAGGTTCAGCTTGCTTATCTAACGAGAACTCACTCTCCGATGATGACGTGATGCTATCTAAGCTTACCTAATCAGTATGATAACGATGCGATACCATCTAAGCGTGCCCAATTAGCAGAGCAATAGATTTGGGGCATATAGAAGGAGGATACTTTCAGGTGTGCACGTACATCTGAGCTATCGAACTGGACTCAAAACTTAGGACATCAGTTTGCACTAACCCTAATAATATATCCACGCTACAAGATGCAAGACCGCCGAGCTGCTATGATCCATGAGAAACGAAGGTTGTGTGTTGATAGCATATCTATTACCACTACTGTGTGTACAAACGCTGCATGACTGCGTGCCATTTAATGGAAGTGGTTGGTCGAACTCGACACCGTACGAGATGGCGCTGCTCTTCCCATGTCGTCGTTCCAACGACGATAATAACTGATGTAACGTAGTAAAAAGTTGGCGCATTTCACAGTCGAAAAGAGAAGAATCTTAAAAGTAGAGCGAGGAATTTCTAGACGTGCAATAGCGAACAAAGCAAAAGACAGAAAGTGCGACGTCAGAGTAGGCTGTAGGCGTTTGGGTATTGAATGGGTGGGGGACTCCACATTTCCTTGCTTCCCTCATCCATACACACTCTCTCTCTCTCCCTCCCACGTGTATGTGTGTGCCGCAGAACTTCCCTAAATTGCTTTTCCATCTCTTCTTCTCCATCATCATCGCTTTGTTCTCACCTTGCGATTCTGCTTGTATGATGTAGATTCTATAGCAAGTAGAAGCTCTTAATTTTTTCCTGGCTGTGATGTTAGAATTCGAGTCTTTTGGTGGTGTGGGATTGCTCTGAGAAGTTACAAACATCTCGATCCGTATGTTCTTTTCCACATGATGTGTTCATAGAAATCTTTGTTTCATGTTTCTGCTTGGTGTTCAGGCTTGCAACGTAGAGTTTCTACTCCTTTGTTTCCCGGTAGAGTCTCTTGCAAGGATCTGAGCTCTCAGAATTCTCTTGTTTTATGCATAGTTTATATCTTGAGTGCAGGGATATCCCTCGGCGATGCATGTCAGGAATCTAATAGCGCCTTTATCAAGATGAGAGGAACCATTGCCCTCTCTCTCCCGACCTTTTGATGCGTGCTACAGATTGATCAGCCCTTGTTGTCGGCCTTTGTTTCATTTTCTTGCCTCTAGATTTCAACCAAGCCATACTTCTACCTGTATCACATACATCCAAATCTAGACCAAGAACAAAGAATAACCTGCCGATGGAAGGGCTGGTAATTGTGGAAGAGAACATGTCCAATCTCACTTCTGCCTCTGGCGAAGCAAGCGCCTCCTCCAACCAGCAATCCTCCCTGATCGCCACAGAGCCAAGTCCGGTGAAGAAAAAGAGGAACCTCCCGGGAAATCCAGGTATTGTTCTTCCATGATATGATTCTTGTGGATGGAAGGACATATGCTTTGCACCGTGCTTCTCCTTTTCCTTAACCGCAGCGCTTTGGGTGTTGACCTTAGACCCAGATGCGGAGGTAATAGCACTGTCTCCCAAGACACTGATGGCAACCAACAGGTTTGTGTGCGAGATCTGCAACAAAGGATTCCAGAGGGACCAGAACTTGCAGCTCCACAGGAGGGGCCACAATCTCCCATGGAAGCTGAAGCAAAGAAGCAAGGAGGCGAGGAAGAAGGTGTACGTGTGCCCAGAGGTGACATGCGTCCACCATGAACCTTCTAGGGCACTCGGAGACCTCACTGGCATCAAGAAGCACTTCAGCCGGAAGCATGGCGAGAAGAAGTGGAAGTGTGACAAGTGCTCCAAGAAATATGCTGTGAAGTCCGATTGGAAGGCCCACTCCAAGATCTGTGGCACAAGGGAATACAGATGCGACTGTGGCACTCTCTTTTCGAGGTAACACTGATTGATCTCTCGATCACAAAACATTATGTGAAGAAACTGCGTAAACGAACTCATCAAGCAGGTATTCTTGAGGTCCTCAGATTATCTTGGTAGATCCAGAGATTATGAGACTCGAGGCATCATATCATCTACTCAGCTTTACTGTCTGCCTTTGATCTCTTTTTCTCGACCTTTGTTTCTTTTTGGAGTTTAGTGCTGTGCTTTCTTTTTCTTCTTTTGTGAATGATGGATGGCTGCTGCCTTTGTGATGTTTGTTCTCTTGCGTTTTCTTGATTGTGGTACTGCTACTGATTGCAGGAGGGACAGCTTCGTGACTCACAGGGCCTTCTGTGATGCACTGACAGAAAGGAGTTCGAGGGTCGGCATTACAGCAAACCCTATAGCCGATCGCCACCTGCTCCAATTCTCTCATCCTACCGCATCATTTGAGCCCTTCCCGCTCCAGCAACCTGATCTGCAGAGCCAGTTCACTCGCTTTATGCGAGCCACAGAGGTCGGCAACAGTCCGTCGAGCAGCCATGGGCTGCAGCAGGAGATCGCACTGAAAAGAGAGCAGCAGCACTTCGACAGGTCAGATATCCCACCATGGCTGAACTGCCAGGCGATCACTTCTCTGAACTACTTTGACGTGATGCCTTCGTCCATATACCCCATGAGATTAGACGAAGCATACCCTCATGAAAACCCAGTACCTCCACCTCCTTTCTTTCCCACGGACCATTCCGCAACTTCCTTTCCACACATGTCGGCCACTGCATTGCTGCAGCAGGCGGCGCAAATGGGTTCGACCGTAAGTAGACCTTCAGACGCTGATCAGATGGCTACTCACGACTCGTCCGCATACAATGCTACTTCTGGCTTTGATCTCGGCTTGTCCTCCTCACATCAAGAAGTGAGTGGTGGACGAGAAGGAGGTTTTGGGCAAGTGTTTGCACCTCCTGTTCTCCTCCAGGACATGATGCTGAACCCACTTTCTTCGACTCCAGGGTTTGTGGGTTCTTTCGACGATGCACTTGGAAGGATCCCGGGATTCAAGGGGAGACAGAACAGCTTCGTGGATGGCGTGGTCAGAAGCCAAGGAAGGGGTGAGGGAGGAGGTGGCGGTGGGAACGACGGGATGACAAGAGACTTCTTAGGACCAAGGGCTGTTTTCCCACAGGGATATCCTTGACTTGGCTCTGTACCTCTGAGCAACCTCTCTGCTCGAAGGACACTTGTTCGTTGGCCTCCTTCCTCCTCCGAGAGAACTCTTTGTACTGTGCGGTTCGCTCTTCCTTGCTTTGCCTTTGCCACAAAGGTATCTATTTGTGTTGTTGTAGGGTTCATTCTCATAAACTTTATTTCTGCAGCACATTCTCTGGTTTTCCTTAAATGACTCTGTAATATTCCAAGTTAAGAATAATGGAATATTTATCCCCATAAAGTAAATATGTTTATTATAGTCCAATAAATTTCCCTGGATTTGCTAATTAAACACTATATTTTTATTGAATAATTAATAGAACGATAATTTACGAGCTGTTTAATGTAGTGATACATTTTTAAGATTTTCTTTACAATAATAAAAAATATATGATTGCAGTACATGCAAGATTCCCCCCCCCCGCCCTACATTTAGCTAGTAAATGCATGGTTTTTGCTCGAAGTGTTGTTCTCTTCTCCCTTTATTCCTAGAAGAAACACAGGTAGTGTCTCTGAGGACTCCAGACACAAATCGAAGTCTAGAAAGTATCAGCTGTTTCTCCTAATGCATTATTATATCGTGAATAGCGCAACATTATCATGTTCTTCGATGTATCTTTACGTTTGTCAACGTCGCATCGTCAGAGACAACACCACCTCTTGG